GAGGGCCAAGGGCAGAAACCAAATGCCCGCTGTTCTCTGAGGCCAGGATATTATCCCCGTTTTACAGATTGGCAAATAGAACTTTTGCTCGCACTTTCCCCCATTCGTTCCATCATCTGTTAGATGCCAGGCACGATACTAGGTGTTGGGGGCTCAGAGAAGCCAGTTCCTCGGAGGGACTGTTAGAACGAGTCGGGGAGAAAGGCAAAGAGAGAGGTGGAAGGAGTAGAGCGGGCACCCCCGAGGGATCCAGGTGTCCTGGGAAGGAAAGGCTCCACCGACGACAGGCTGGTGATGGTGTGCCGAGGTTCAGAAATTCTGGAGGGGTGCCAAGCTGAGTGGAAGGGCCGTGAGGGTCCATTTGATTCTAAATTCAGAATTCTTTCCCAAACACAGAAGGGCAGGTGCCAGGAAGGGCAGCTTAGCGAGCAAATGAGGGGTTTGGCTGAGTGTGGCTTGAGAGCAAGATACAAGACAAGATGAGCTGCGCACAGGGGCTAAATGGGGCAGGATTCGGGCCGGAGGGTCACTCGCCGTTGGGCCCCAGGGCCACCATGAACCCTGCTCTGCACACCAAAGAGTGTGAACGGTCTCCCCAACAACAGGGAGTCAGGTGTATGTGCTAAGTCAGCCAGCGAGTAAAATGATTGGACGTGGTGGGAAAGATAATCCTGCAGAGCGAGGATGGGGTGACACGAGAAGCAGGGACATCTTCTCAGAGATGGTCACCAAAGCAAGGGATGCTGGCAAAGCAGAGGCCAGAAGAGACGAGAGATACGGGGACACAGACTTGGTTGTGTGGCCGATGAGCTAGAGGTTCAGGGAGCAGTGAGCGGAGCCACCAGATGGCTCCCTGGTTCTTAGCTCGGTCCACCGTTTGTGGAAGCGAAATAAGAGTAGATGTGCGAGACAAGACGATGAGGGTGCTCGTGACGTGTCAGCCTACGGGATCCCCGCATGGAGCTGCTGGAACGTCGGCGAGGTGAGCCGGATAAAGACCAGTGAGTCCAAGCTGCAGCGAGTAGAGAATTCCTCAAGGGGATGGGGACCGGTGGCATCAATCCGACACGCCTACACTGGCAGAGACCCTCCATTTGCTGCAAGAGGTGGCCCACAAACCAGCCCAAGACCTGCTGCCTTGCACAAGCATTTCGTCTCAGGCTTACGGGCCCGCAGGGGACTGCGGTTAGGCCGGGCAGCGGCTTCAGGCTGTGGGTCAGTGCACTCGGCTTCAGGTCGAGGTCAGATCTGTTTCCCGCGTCTCTCATCCTGCGTGACCCTCCACGACACGGTGGCTACACAGGGCGCACCGTCTTCTGATCAAGAGCAGCCCCCAGCAGGGCTAATGAGCATGCACGAGCATGCACAGTTCGCTTAAGGCCTCGCTGCAGACCCGCACACCGTGGCTGCTGCCTGTCTTTTTTTTTTTTTTTAATTTTTATTTATTTATGTATGATAGTCACAGAGAGAGAGAGGCAGAGACACAGGCAGAGGGAGAAGCAGGCTCCATGCACCGGGAGCCCGACGTGGGATTTGATCCCGGGTCTCCAGGATCGCGCCCTGGGCCAAAGGCAGGCGCCAAACCGCTGCGCCACCCAGGGATCCCGGCTGCCTGTCTTTTAAAGAAAGGTCTCAGCGTGGCTGGAGCCAACCAAGCTCACAGGACGAGAGCTAGACTCCAGCACGTCCATGCACTGCCGGGGCACCTGGCAGAGGAACGAGGAGCCGCGGATGCCCACGGACCACAGCCAGTGGAGCTCCTCGCTGGTACAGGCCGTGCTCTGTTCTGTCTCTCTGTCTGCAGCATTGGAGACCCAGCCACCCTGCCCCAAGTCCTCCTGGCCACATGCCTTATGCTACAGTGCAGAGACCTTTGGGTTCAGATAGACAACCTCGGCTCCGTTTCCTAGACCGTCACACAAGCCCCGCGATCTTGGAAAAGTCAGCTAACCTCTGAGTCTACATCATCTGCTAAAACCTCACCTCCTAAGACTGTCGTAAAGACCACATGGGATGATGTGTAAGAAAAACCTTGTCCTGCTTAGGAACCAGCAAAAATCCTTTCTAACCCACACACCTCTCAACAACTACCATTTGTCCTCCAGATTCTTTTTCATAAATATTTTATAGATTTTATTTATTTATTCACAAGAGACACAGAGACATAAACAGAGAGGCAGAGACACAGGCAGAGGGAGAAGCAGGCTCCATGCAGGGAGCCCGACGTGGGACTCGATCCCGGGTCTTCAGGGTCACACCCTGGGTGGAAGGCAGCGCTAAACCGCTGAGCCACCAGGGCTCCCCTCCAGATTCTTACACAGTTGTCATGCAGTGGTATCTAGACACAAGAGAAGTTCCTGGAAATCCCCTGGGAAGTAGTGATCAGACTTCCAGCCTTGCTGATTCCAGTTCGCTCAGAGGAGATTGCTTTAGGTGTCCCCGGGTGATTCTAAGGCGCCACCGCTGGCATCTACCACACGCTGAGCACTTAACTGGACTAGTTCACTGTTTTGTGGGTTAAAGGTTTGGGTGTGTGTCCTCATAGCCTTCAGAAGGAGGAAGGGAGGCTTTCTGTCTCCAGCCAAGCCACCATTGATGGAGGGTGATACGATGCCTGTGTGTGCTGTACCTCGGTGTCCAAATTCCGTTTCACACTCTGGTAACAGATGCAAATGGTCTTAGGTACAATGTTTATCCTTGTGATGGCAAATACATACATAAATCACTAGAGATGAAGAACATTTCCCAAGTGGACACGGCCAGAGTGATTAAAATGTGTGTTTATTCATTTACAAACCTAGTAGCAGGAAAAGAACATCTTAATTAAAATCGGCTTGATCGGGGATCCCTGGGTGGCGCAGCAGTTTGGCGCCTGCCTTTGGCCCAGGGCGCGATCCTGGAGACCCGGGATCGAATCCCACGTCGGGCTCCCGGTGCATGGAGTCTGCTTCTCCCTCTCCCTCTGCCTATGTCTCTGCGCCTCTCTCTCTCTCTCTATCATAAATAAATAAAAATTAAAAAAAAATAAAAAAAATCGGCCTGATCGAAACACAGGGCGCGATGTTCCCACTGCGTTCGTGGAGTCAGAAACGCTGGTCATTCTGGGTGCCTAAAGTCACAGGGCTGCTGAGAAAGACCCACGCGGGAAAGTGCCTTAAATGTCCTCGGGACCTCGCGCCGACCCTACAGGGGGGTAGAAAGGGGCTGAGGCAACTGCACATTTACTAATGTAAATAAGGAGTTACAGCCCTGTACCCTAATCACGATGGCATTTCCCGTATCCAAGAGTAGACCGAGAACAAAGCGTTCACTGTGCTGCTAGAAACCCCTTGATTGAAACAAGCTGCAGAAAGGCCTTTGATCTGGGGACTGGAAGCTATGGGGTGAGGATGGGAACCCTCACAATGAGTGAAGTTACTTTGTTTTTGTCCTTCCTGTCTACACCCCCCAGGGGACATTCCGGGGGGGGGGGGCCCTAAGGCCTAAGGCCTGAGACCTCGGCTCCAGGTCTTGGTGTGCAAAGGAAATCCTGGCGCGGATCTTTTGAAACAGATGCTAAAAATACCCCCTCCCCACCCCTTGCAATCTCTGTCCCCGAGGGACAGAGAAGCAAGGCAGAGGGTTGCAAAGCTGAGTCCAAGTATCAGGAGAAGGTGCTATGAAGACACGTGTGATGGTCATGGGTTGAGGGAAGAGGGAAAGCCGAGCCGCCCGGCCGCTACTCGCTGCCGTCGCCAGCAGGGAATCCCCGCATCGACCCTCGCCGCGCGTCACCCTCCGCTCCGTGCGCACCGCACCGCGCGCTTCCTCCCAGTCCTCAGCCCACAAGCGGCACCGTCACGCCGCTCGGCCGCGAACCTGCGAGGCTTCCTCCCCAAACTGCCGCGTCTGGCCATCGGGCCTGGCTCCCCAGGAATACACCTCGGATGGGCTCGTCTACCTGCTCTTCTCCGGGGCAGTCGGGCGGCCCCAACTCTCAGCCCTTGGCTAGAATGCTGAATCGTTTCTCCAGCCCCGAGTCTCCGGGCTCAGCAGCCAGAACTCGGCGCCGCGTCGTGCGGTGAGCGCGCTCCGCGGGAGCCACGTCTGCACTCGCGGGCGGCCCGGAGCCCCGCGGCCCGCGCTGGCCCGCCCCTCCCTGGCGCGGGCGCCTCGGCCGAAAGGGGCCACAGGGACGCCGGGGGCCTGCGCGGGGCCGGGGCTCGGATCCCACGGGCGGGAAAGGAGGACGAGGCGCCGCCGGCACGGGCCGCCGTAGCCTGAGCACGCTGCCCACTCGGGGGCGGACTGCACGCCGCGCCGGCCGGGCCGGGCTCCGAGCGCCGGGGAGCCCGCCCGGCCCACGACTGCGGTGCTGCGGAGGGAGGGCCGGGCCTGCAACCGGCGGGAACGGCCGCGCCCCGACAGAGCCTCGCCCGGGAGGCGCCGAGCGCCCGCGGGTCCCGCGCGCCCTTCTGCGGGGCGGCAGCGGCAGCGCGCCCGAGGGCAGGGCGAGGCCCCGCGCTCCCGGCTCCCCCGCAGGGCGAGCGGCCCACGGCGGACGTCCCGGCTCCGCCCGTCGGGGTCAAGCGGGCCGGCGGCCCGGGCCGCAGCCCCCGCCCCCGCCCCCACTCCCAGCCCCGAGCCCGCGCCCCAGCCAGCCCCGACCCGCGCCGCGGCCCAGCGCGGCCCAGAGCCCCGGGGCGGGGCCTCGCGAGACCCAAACAAGCCCCACGTGGCAGGGGCGGGGCCGCCTCGGGGACGTCACGGCGCGCGCGTGCGCGGCAGCGCCGGCCAGGCGCCGGCGTACCCTTGCTGGGGGCCGTAAAGCGCGGAAGGTCGCGGTCCCGGGCTTCCCCGGAACTTTTTACTCCCTCCGCCCCGCCCCCTTCGCTGCCTCCTCGGCCCCGGTTCTGGCTCCGGGACCGCTCCCGGCAACTGCTGTGGCTGCTGCCCCGCTGCCGCCGGGGCTTGTGCTGCGGCCCGCGGAGCCCGCCGGGGCCCGTGAGGTGAGGACACGGCGGCGGGGCCGCTCCGGCCTCCGCTCCGCGCGCGTCTCAGCGGCCCCCTTTCCGCTCCGGGCTCCCGGCGGGGGGGGTCCCGGCCGCCCCCGGGTCGCGTCGCGTCGCTTGCGCCAGCTCGCCTCGGCCTCGGGCGTCCGGGCCGACAGGGGTCCGCCCCGTTTCTCCCGTCCGGCCCGGCGTCCCGGGCCTGGGGAACCCGTGCCCGGCTGCCCCGGGCCTGCGCAGCGGCTCCTCCGGGCGTCCGCGGCGACCTCGCCGGGGCCCCCGGCCTCGGGTTGCGCGGCCCCTCGCGCGGACGAGGCGGGTCTCGCCGGGGCTGTCTCCCCTGCGGGTGCAGTCGCTTCCCTTCCCGCCTGGAGACGCGCGCCCCGCCGGTGCTTCCCGGATCGGCGGACGGCTGCGTTACCGGGAGAAGCGTAGGCCGGGCAGGGAGCTGTGTTGGCGACGCGTGACCACTCGGGGCCGACGTGAAGGACACAGGTCAGCGCCGGGACCTTCGAGTGCACTTGCCGGGGCGTGGAAGCCTGACGTCCGGGGGAGGGGAGCCGGGCCACGGGGCACACTTTGCCGGCGCGGGGCATTTGCGTTAAGTTCCTAAACTTGCCTGCTCACCTGGGGGCACTTGTTGAGGACTACACGCCGGGACCAGTAGCGTCGGGCTCTCCAGAGACGTGCCAGGTGGCTCTGAGGCTGAGGCAGGTGGGGGGAATGTTGATCGACCCCCACTCCCCGGGCCCCCTGGTCCCCAGCGGCCCGTTCGCACACACGCCGTGACCACGCAGAGGAACGACTCAGAGGGCCTCGGAGCTGTCCTCTCGCCCTCGCTGGTGTGCGCGGACGTGAGCGTACCTAGTCCCCATACGGAGGTTGCTGGGCAGGTGTTTTTCTTCTTAGTAGAAAACATTGTGGGGTCATCTTAGTTTTAAAAAGGTGTAGTGTAGGGATCCCTGGGTGGCGCAGCGGTTTGGCGCCTGCCTTTGGCCCAGGGCGCGGTCGTGGAGACCCGGGATCGAGTCCCACGTCGGGCTCCCGGTGCATGGAGCCTGCTTCTCCCTCTGCCTGTGTCTCTGCCTCTCTCTCTCCCTCCCTCTCTCTGTGACTATCATAAATTAAAAAACAAACAAAAAAAAAAAGGTGTAGTGTATTTTGGGGGTGTCTGGCTTGTTCAGTCGGAAGAGCACGTGTCTCTTGCTCGTTAGTTGGAGTGGTGTAGAGGTTACTTAAATAGGACCTAAGGTAGGTGCGCGCCCGCACACAAACGTCCCTAAAAGGTGCTGTAAACCCGGTAGCACCTTTTATTTCTCTGTCTTTGCCATCTTCAGTTTCTTCTCTACTGGCTTTTTCCCGCCTCTGCTTGCAAGCTTTGCTTTGGTTTTGCTGCCAAACCTACAGGGACACTCTGGTGCCTTCCTTCTTTGTTTATCCACTTAAAATCCTCTTTTGTTCTTGTTTGTCCTCACCACTTCGGTGACTCTCTGAAGGTCACGATGCACACGAGGTCACGAATCCTCTCCTCGGTTCTTATCACCAGAGGCTTTTTAACATAGTTTCTTCCATCTGGAACCTCATTTGTCATCATGCTGCTTCTGGGACTTTTGCAGTTCCTTTTATCCTGCCAGGGGGTGTGCCTGGTGGTTCTGTCCTCACAACTACCCTTTCTTTATTCATCTGATCTTATTTGAAAGGTAGCAGGGAGGAACGTTCTAGGGTAGTTCTGTGGTGCCGGCCTGGCAAGGTTTGACTCCTGGCTCTGCCACTCACTGGCCTTCGAGAATCATGGATGCGGTACTTCTCTGTGTCTCAGCTTCCGGGAGTGTAGAAAAGAAGTTCTGATACCTGCCTCCTAGGATTGTGAGGCTTGAGTCAGCTGTACACACGAAGCAGCATCTAGCAAGCCGATGGTAACTGCCTATGAAAATAGTACCATTTTCTTTTTAAAAACGCTTTCACGTGATTTAGATATCCCGTCAAATCTGAGGGCCTGGCCTTGAGACCTCCGAGTCCTCATTGAGCTTTTTCCCCTGTCGTGCATTCTCTGTCCATTCATCAACGTGTATTTCCTGGGTGCCTACCCTGAATGCTGGGAAAATCATGATATAATTGGTCTGGGCTCCCAGAGAGCTCCATTACAATAGGAGCTAGAAAGTACCACTTACTGGGTGCTTCTTAGGTGCCAGTCGCCGTGTTGTTCCTTATTGTCGGATGGAGTGTCTGTAGCAGGTGTGCGAGGTAGGTAGTCCTAGCTCACTTTCTGGATGAGGAGCCCAAAGGCCAGGAACGGTCTGACTTGCTGAAAGTCCTAGAGCCAATGAGAGGTGGGGGAGGTTTTCAGACCCACTGCTGTCTGCCTCAGGAGCCTGCGTGGCCAGCTGGGTTGTCGCGCTGCTTCCCTGAGTGGCGAACAGACCACGAGAGAGCCCGGAAAGCTCTGTGCTGGGAGAAGTGCAGGTGATAGGGGAGAATGTGGAGGCGTCACCCGCCTGAGCACTGGGGGAGAGGAGGTCTGATCCGGTGTCAAACAGGCTGAGAGCTGAGGGGATGACCTTCGTTTGAGGGTCGGGGGGAGTGGCAGGAACTAGACTACTTGGTTAGAGGAACAGTGTGCCCAGAATCCTGTCCCGTTTGAGGAATTGATTACAAGTAGTTCAGTCTGGGGGGGGGAGAGAGAGAGAGAGAGACCGACCGACCAGAGACGACAAGTGAGCCAGATGGTGAAGCATCCTGCACTTCCTGTTAAGGAGATGGCCTTTTCCTGAGGACATCAGAGGGTCATTGAAGAGTTTGAAGCAAGGGCGTGAAGCAAGATTTTCACTTGAGAAGACCAGCTCAGAGTCCTGTCAGGATTGTGGGGGGTGGGGAGGAGAACGGTGGGCAGCAGCCCCGTCAGGAAGCTTCTGCAGTAATCTGAGCAGGGGCGGCGGCCTGTACTCTAGCTGCGGTGGGGATGAGAGAAGTGTAGCGTGTGGAAGCCTTGCTCCTTGCTGGCGGGCCGCGTGGAGGAGATGAGAACCCTTGGTATTACCCAGGGTTCCCGTATATGGTGTCGCTGGGGACGCAGGAGTGGAGCAGGTTTGGAGATTGAGGAGGATGGGTGTCCCTGTTGGATGTGCTCAGTTTGACCTCCGGGAACCCAAGTGGACACGGCCGGGGTTCAACTAGAGGCGGGGCCACGCGTCACGGTAGGCGGTGAAGTCACCCTGGAGAGTAGCGGACCGAGGGGAGAGGCTACTCCTGGAGCACCCCGAGGGACATGGAGTCGGAAGGTCGGGCGGGGGAGAGAGGCCGGCGAAGACGTGACCAGGGGGGCAGGGGCAGTAGGAGTCCGAATAAAACGGGGCAAGAGGGTGTGAGTAGCAGGAGCAATAGGCGCTATGGAGTGCTGCGGACAGGATGCGAGGTGAGGCCCGTGGCCCCGGAAGTTGGCAGCATGAGCAGTCTTGGGGAGAGCCGTGTTCCTGGCTGGGCGGGACAGAAGCCCAGCCGCTTTGGGTTCAGGACAGACTGGAAAGGGGGAAAGTGACAATAATACATGAAGCCCTTTCCTTAATGTATTTGTCAAGTGGATTATCACATGATCTCATTCATTTGTGGAGTGTAGGGAACAAAACAGAGGATCATAGGGAAAGAGAGGAAAAAATAAAGATGAAATCAGAGAGGGAGACAAACCATAAGAGAGGCTGAATCGTGGGAAACAAACTGAGGGTCGCTAGAGGGGAGAGAGGTTGGGGGACGGGGCCGCTGGGTGATGGGCATTAAGGAGGACATGTGATGAGCGCTGGGTGTTCTATAAGACTGATGAGAATCGCTGGCTTCTATCTCTGAAACCAATAAGCAGTACATGTTAACTCATTGAACTTGAATTAAAAAAACAAAAACAGAAACAACATTTGTCGAGTGAAAAGACGGGTTGTGAGATCACATTAAGACTCAGTTCTGGCATGACCTCCGGCCACTGCAATCACTAAGGAGTAAGGAAAGGTCACAAGACAGGGGGGGACACTCAGGTGGACATCTGGATAGCTCATTGGGACTGGTCGTTTTCTATGAAGGGAAAGCGCTTTTTTTTTTTTTTTTTTTAAGATTTTCTTTATTTATTTGACAGAGAGAGAGCGAGCACACAAGCAGGGGCAGCAGCACAGGGAGAGGGAGCAGTGGGATCCCCACCGAGCAGGGAGCCTGATGTGGGGCTCAATCCCAGGACCCCGGGATCATGACCTGAGCCAAAGGCAGATGCTTAACCGACTGAGCCACTCCTGTGCCCCTTAATATTTTATTTATTTATTTGAGGGACAGAGTGCATGCCTGTGAGCAGAAGGGGCAGAGGGAGAGAGAGAATCCCGCTGTGGGGCTCGATTCCACGACACCCAGACCGTGACCTGGGCCAAAACCCAGAGTCGGACGCTCAACTGACTGAGCCACCCAGGTGCCCTGACGGGAAATCATAATCTCCAGTGTGTGTGTGTGTGTGTGTGTGTGTGTGTGTGTGTGTGTGTGTTTGCCAAGACCACAATTTTTATAATTCAGAATTTTTAAAATTAAAAAGCATTCTTCGAAGACCGTTACGGAGCTTTTGTTCCATTTCTGAAATTGGTTGGGAGGACTCAAGCATATGAAAACGCTGAGGGTCAGAGGGAACCCCGAAGGTACGTGGAAGAGGAGCTGGCTTGACAAAGCTGGGCTCAGGGGAAGGAGGGAGAGGTTTCTGGGGGACTTGTGCGGGCGTGAACTTTTGACCCTCTGAGGGAAGGAGAGATGGTTGTTAGATGGTTAGAGATGCAAGTGGGATGATGGGTAGAGTTTCAGGGGGGGGAGATGAGATGGGTTATGTGCATGGGAGGAAGGAGGAAAGGAGGCCGGGTCTGAGGTTGGGAGAGGAACAGCGTGGTGGGTTCAGATCTGCCTGTGGCCGAACCCTTGGTGGCCCGGGGCTAGGTAGGGGTGCCTGCTGGCCAGAGCCAGGAAGGAGCAGGGTTCTCTGAGCGGAGGAGAAGGAGGATGCCCGCCTTCCCTCCTGAGGGTGAGCGCGGTGGGCCGGGGCTGGCCCTGTGGCGCCTTCTGTTTGAGACAGCTGGACAGGGGTGGGGGTGGGGGTGGGGGTGGGGGTGGTGTGAGGCCTGGTGACTGCCTCAGGGTAGCCCAGTAATCAGCCCTGGTTGGATGGGGTTTGTCTCGGGACCCGAGTGGGCCTGCTTGGTCTCCTTCTGAGATCCTGTGTGGTGGACGGGCACCCGGGCCTTGGCCTTGGGCTAGTTGGGCTGTTCGGGGCCCACCGTGGGTCCCGGCCTGGGAGTGGCATGCTGCTGGGCACCCTGCGTGCCAGGGCTCTGCTCTGGAGTCTCTGTTTTCCCAAGCTCGGTGACCCTGCCATCTCCAGGCAGGTCTGACTACAGTTTCTGGAACTTTGGACAGGCCTCCGTTTTGCCGGGAGAACAGTTCTCCCCGGTGGCCCGATCCTGTACCCTCTCCTTTCTCTGCCTTACAGTGTTGATTGTCTCATAGACACGTGGGCAGGGTCCCAGCCTGTGACACCCGAGGGTGCGTGAGAAGCCCACCTCGCCTGACCCTCCCCTGCTTCTGGGAAGAGGCCTGATGGACCTTGAGTCCCCAGCCCGGGGCCTGTGCAGACCCGGGGCCCACCGTCCCTCACGGTGGCTTTGGGTCCCCTCTCTCTCTCTTTTCTCTTCCAGGACCTCATTCTTTGTCCCCACCTCTCCTTCTTCCTCACCCCTGCCCTTCCCACCAGCAGTGAAACAGCGTCCACGGCCTGAGCCTTTATCAGCAAAGAGTCTTGCTCTGCTCCCGTTCTTTCCTGCTTCTGGCTGGTTTTTCTGCTCCCTTCAGAGCAGGATGTGAAGGAGCAGTTTGCGCTCCCTCACCTCCTCACTCTGGAGCTTGCCCTGTCCGCATTTCATCCCGAGCACTCTCCTGCGAAGGTTGTTCTTTTTGAGGACATCAGGGGCCTCTGTTGTCAAGTCCCAGTGGAACTAGGCCATCTTGCTGCACCCCTGGGCACCCCCAGTAGTGAACCGCTTCCTGAAACCCTTTTCTCTCTTGGCTTCCGTGACCCTCTGCCCAGTTCTCTTTCTGCTTCGCAGCGGCTCCTTCTCCATCTCTTGAACCCCTCGTGTTTGTCTGGACGCTCTGTGAGTCTGCCCGGTACTTTGCTTCTCTTTCCAAGCTGTATCTGCTGGGGAGCTTCAGGGTTCTTCTTGTTGCCCGGCATGACGGGTCTCCAGATACCCCATGTGGTCCCCAAGCTTCAGGCCTGGATGTCTAGCTGCTGCTTGGCCTTCCCACGCGGAAGCCCGCGAGGCAACCTGCCTTGACACCTCAGAGGGGGACGTTTGCTTGTCTGCGCACGCGTACCTGTGCCCTCCTCGGCCTCCCTCCCCAACCCTGGTCCTTCACACCGTAGTCCCTGGCACCAGTTACTTAACCCAGAAACCCCGCCGCCGTCCTTGTTTCTCCCCTCGCCCCATTTTAACATCCCGTTTGTCGAGTTCTGTTGTTTCACCTCGAAAATAATCCAGTCGTGGCTCTGACTTCACCGCCACCGTCCTGCTGGGAGCCCCCGGGCCCTCCCCCTAGAACTGCGCGGTAGCCTCCTAGCCCTGCTTTCCCTCCGGTCGTGGAGTCCGCTCCCGCCCTGGAGCCTGACTGATCTTGGACAAGCATATCCGGTCATGCCATTCTCTGCTTTGGTATCTTCCTCTGCACTCGGAGCAAAACCCCCGCTCGTCACGATGGCGTCCAAGCGCCGTGTGTCGTTGCTTTCTGCCTGCCTCTCCAGCCTCGGCTTGGGTCATGTCCGCCTCGCTCATGGTGCTGTGGGCCCACCGGCCTCCCTTCTGTGCCCGGACTCCTCGGGGTCGGCCTCACCTCAGGGCCTTGGCACGTGCGTGTGCCTCTGTCTGGGAGACCATACAGCTGGTTCTTGTTCACCGTCAGGTGGCTTTTCCAAGGTCACCTTCTCCCGAGCACCCTGTCTTACAGGTGCCTTCAGTTATTCCAGCACATTGGCCTCGGTCCTCGGTTTATGTGTGTAGGGGCCGCCCCCGCCGTCGGCACCCTCTCCCACACTCACCCCCCCCCCCCCCCCGCCGCCTCTGTGTCTCTGACGAAAGTTGCATAGAGGCGAGGACCTCCTCCCTGTTGTCCACTGCTGGGTGTACAGCTAGTGAAGCGTCTGGAAGTGCGCAGATACCTCAGACACGCGCCGAAAGCACGATTGTCTTCCTTTGTTGCTTCTTTTCGTTTCCCCATTAATCCCGTGCGTTGAGTACAGCGGGATAAGATCTGGTTGCTCTCTCCATCTAGTGTGAATGCCGGGGATCTCCCTAGGCGGGTGAGAGCACGTCTCCCAGCCGCCGACGGACGTGATGTACCACCGGTTGCTGTCGGTGGTCCGAAGACAAAGGACCGGCCGAGGATGGCAGAACTGGTCGTCGGGGAGAAGCGGCGCGTCTGCTGCCGAGGCGCATTCTGTCGCCCTGCCTGCCCAGGCGCAGGTCGTCATCTGCGGCGGGGGAATCATGGGCACATCCGTGGCCTATCACCTCTCCAAGATGGGGTGGAAGGATATTGTCCTTTTGGAGCAGGGCAGGTAAGGACCTGAGGGCACGCGGCTCGGGGCTCCCCTCACCCCCCCCCCCCCACGTTGTCCTGCCAGTAGCTAACCTGACTGATGATTGGCGCTAAGTAGCCTGAGAAGAACCACAGAGAGCGAGATCTCCTGTCCGCGGTTTCGGAGTACGTGATACCCCCATTTTCTGGCTTTGGGAGAGGTGGCAGGTTCTGACTCGCCAAGTATCCAGATAGGGTGTGTTTCATTTCAGGGTCACGGCACGCCATGCCATACCCTCTTGTCCTCTTTGTTGTTGTCACACAGCAACAGAAACCCTCAAAAGCCTCCTCTGTGAGCCCGAATGAAATCGGCTACGTCCCGCCTGATTTCTGTTCCCTTTTGTCCTCGAATCTGCTTCTTTTAGAGCCACGGTAGATTTACAGGACAAATGGGAAGGCGGTGCGGCGCTCCCGTATGCCTCAGCCCCGTGCGCACCTCGGTGAACATCTGAGGCTGGGATCGCCGTTGAATATAACGAGTCAGTGTGGATGCCTTTTTATTAACTGAAGTTCATACTTTGTCCCAAGTTGTTTCACTCTTCCCCTAATGCCCCTCTTCTGTTCTATTGCCTACCAGAAATTGGATGACCTTTAACCCGTCTGTTGTATTTATTTCTGAATAGGCAATACATTTACACGATTCAGATTGAAAAGTGTAAAAGAGTGTACAGGGAAAAGTCTGCCTCCCATCCCTGACTTCTAGCTGGAAGTTCCCCTCGCTGGAGGCAAGTTAAGTTCCTTGTGTATCGTTCCAGATAGTCCCCATGTACATGAGCAAATCTGTATGGGTCAGTTTGTATATGTGTGCCTGGGTATTTGTTTTATTATTTTTTTCTCTTTTTTTATACGAGTTAGTAGCATACCTCAAACAGTGTCGCCCCGCCCTTGCTTTTTCATTAGGATTGTTCCATAGTGTTGCATAAAAGCTTCCTCTCATTCCTTTTTTAATGGCTGTGTAGAGCGTCCCAGGGTAGAGGGGAACTCCAGACTGTTCGATCCCGCTCATGTCGGTGGATATGTAGGTTGCTTCCATCTTTCGATATTACAGACAATGCCGTAATGAGGATCTTTGAACTAGTTGTGCTCACAGGTGTGGGAGTCTACCTAATAGTGTCCTGGATGCCTCCTGCAGGCTGGCTGCTGGCTCTACGAGGTTCTGTGCTGGCATCCTGAGCACCGCCAGGCACTTGTCCATCGAGCAGAAGATGGCAGACTATTCCAACAAACTCTACCAGCAGTTAGAGCAAGAAACGGGCATCCAGACAGGTAAGCAGGTAGTCCCCCGCTTACCGGTCTGCCTGTGCCCAGAGTCTGGCACTCAGTACTTGACGTGGCCCGACACCACGTTTGCCTGGAGATTCGGTGGTTAAGGCCTGTGCGTGAGCCTGGGCTCTGCCGCTCACTGTGGTCTTACTTTGGGCAAGTCTGTTAGCGTGTTGAGCTGTCTCCGGCACCCTGCCCATCAGTCGAGGGCATTCTGTCCTCATCCCAGATACTGCCCAGAGCCTGTAGTTCTTAGGATCTTGAGGGTTTCCTGGCCCATTTCCTATTCTTTCATTCCCTGGAGCACATACAGTAAGTGGCCACGTTTGGCTCCTGAACGAAGAAGCCGAGGAAGTACTTCCGTTTCGGTGCCTGATGGTGAAATCGTGGTGTTTCACCAGTTGCTCTTAAGGCTGCTTCTGACTAAGAAGCTTAAACGTAGGTTACTCCTTTATGTGTGTCATTAAGGGAAAGGAAACCCAGGGAATCGTGAGCTAAGTAGGACTGGAGCAAGTAGAATGGGAAGGCCCAGCCACAGGATGGTCCCGCACGATCTCAAGTTAGGAGCCTGTCTGTCAGCGTGTGTCAGGGATGGATTGGCCGGAAGCCCAGGGTCGAGCCGAGCATCGTGGCTGATGAGAAACTGTTTGGTGGCCACGGGAATTGTCCTGAGGGAGTAGCAGGGCCTGGTGATGAAATTCAGGATGCTCGTCTACATCAGCATTGCTCTTTTGAAGACCTGCATGATTCAGATCACAGATAATTCTAGACCCCATCCTGACAAGGAACAGTAAAGCGGCTCGGCTCTGCCATGTGACCCCAGCGTAAGCACAGTTTGTGGTTTCCTTTGCTGGCCGACTTAGAAATTATGTGACCCGTGATAGAGTTTTCATTGGGAAGGTGAGATTTGAATTATTAGTAAGTTTGATGACGGACTGAGGCTTTGTGGCATTTCCCTTTCGTATGATTCATACTCTGGTGAAGTGTAACGTTGTCCGTAGATCCTAGATTAAGACCCGATGTCTAGGGACTGGCATCGGGTAGGTGTGTTAGTGGGGAGAGGAGCTAGAGGAGGGGAGGGAAGAGGCCCTACGCCGTTGAGCACATAAGCGGAGCTCCCAGGCTGGCCCTGAGAGTGGGCGCCTCACTTGCCTCGCCCTGGTCCCCACCCGGTAGATGGGCCTGACTTGGCCAGGCTTCCTTTTGAGAGGCAAGGCCTCTGGGTGCAGATAGTAAAAGTAGTTCCTGCTGCTTCACCACCTCTGGCTTTTGTTAGGGTTGCTGCCTACTACACGCAGGACAGGTGGGAGGGAGTCCCTTTGGGTTAGATTTAATTTGATGGCAACAGGTACTCGCGTCGGGTATTAAGCAGAGTTTGAGTCAGAAGGGGGTCCACATAAGGGGCCCTGAGCTGGAACTGCTGACTTCGGGTGCCCTGGTTCGGTCCCTGGTGCTTTGCCAAGCCTTGCATTGTTTACCAAGCCCAGCCTGCGTGCTAGAGGGACAGGGGTCCTAGGCCTCTCTTCCAAAGGTAAGTTAGTCTCACTTCAGGTCTGGGTCACCGTCAGGAGCCCCGTATTGGGGCTGGTGTCTCTTTGATGCTGGTGGGCAGTGAGAGAGGTGGGGGCGGGGGCGGGCTCTGGGGATCATCCTCCATCTGTCACGCCCATTGCAGTTCAGCAGTGGTGCGGTGAAAGGGGACGTGGGGTCCCCCGCTGGAGAATTGTGTTACCTGGCAGGATGCGCAGGTTGCGCTGCATGGATTGCTGCCAGCCAGTGGACTGCTTTTGAGACATTGTGAAGTCAAGTGACCTATGTACAGCCTGGATTTCCCGATACTACATGCTAATCCTCAGAGGACGGTGCATTGAAGTGACATGTGTGATTGGTACCTAAATATCCTGACCCCCAGTCCTTCATCCAGATCTGGTTGCCCACACGGATCTTGTCTCTCCAAAGTTACGTGTCGTTTTGTTGACGCTGTTTATTTAACTGTGTATCATACAGTCTTTGTACTACCTTTTGTATTGGGGATTGTCTTTCTGCTATATGTGTTTATTTCTTGTTTCCTCAAAGACAGAAACATTCTTAGTAATTGTTAAATGAAAGCGTGTTATGATGGCTTTCCAGATCAGCTCATAATTAAGTCTGTTTATAACTACAGAGAAAGGGTCCATATGTGTGCTGGTTTATTTATGCAGGTCCCACTACCTGCAAATATAAACCTGATATTTATAGGTCCCCCCCCCCTTTTTTTGTTATAATGATGCAGCACAGACCCTTGTCAGTATATGTTTGTTTTCTCTTGCTATTTCCAAAGGGTAGATGTAGTCAGTTGATAATTTGAGCGAAAGGTGTCTGTGTTTTAAACTGATAGGTATTGCCAGATCATCCTCCAAAAGAGGTATCCCCTCTCACCAATCATGTGTGTGAGTGCTTATTTCTTTATCGTCTTCTCAACATTGGGTATTGTTTTATTTCTTCATTCTATTTTTTGTTAAGTAATCTCTACACCCAACATGGGGCTCAAACTCACAACCCCAAGATCAAGAGTCTTGTGCTCTATTGACTGAGCCAGCCAGCTACCCCAACAGTATTGTTTCAATTTTTGGTAATCTGAGAAATGAAAAAAGTAATCAGATTCCAAATTGCATCTTTTTCAGTTAAACATTATGTTGTAGTCTTTTTTTTTTAATTAAAGATTTTATCCACTTATTCATGAAAGACACACAGAGAGAGAAAAGTAGAGACAGAGGCAGAGGGAGAAGCAGGCTCCATGCAGGGAGCCTGGTATGGGACTCAATCCCGGTACCATGGGATTACACCCTGAACCAAAGGCAGGCACTCAACCACTGAACCACCTGGTGTCCCTGTATTGTAGTCTTATTGGCCATTCATATTTCTTCTGTGACTTGTCTTTTAATATCAGATGTCTATCTTCTTACTGAACGTAAGAGTTCTGTTTTACAGCTTCAAACCTGTGATAAAGCAAATTTTATGTCAGAAAGGTCTAGACCAAACTTTTAGAGTTCTCTGTGGGAATAGAGTAGGCTATTAATCTTGTGAACCAGTGATATGCTGTTATGGCAGCTGGTTCTGTTTGGAAGAGTGCGATTTGACATCATGTGTGTACCGTGATGTGTTAAGAGTGTTTGGTAGTGACTGGGAGTGACTACTGAAGCCTTTGTCTGCAGGTGAGACTCAGAGTGTGATTAGCTTCCAAGTCAGTGACCATGATCACTGCACTGGTCTGGTCTATCTACAGTTTTTAGAAATCAGTCTCTAAAATGTCAGTTCTCCAACTGAGACATTCTTGTAATGTCAGGGAAGGGCATATTTCCCTGAAGATTTCAAACTAGATAAAAAAATATTTAGGTGATCCTCCTGTGCTGCCTTTTAAAAAGATACCCTGATTGATTCAGCTTTTTCATCATCAGAACTGAGAGTCTGCATGTTAGGGAGATTGTCACTCACCCAAGCGTGATCATGGTTGTGTCAGGAATGTTGATTGCAATGAACAAGAATTGACTCTGACCAACTTGGGCAAAAAGGAGTTGGTTGGAAGGCTGTTGGAGCCAGTCAGTTTGGCAGGAGGCTGCCAGTTTGGGAGGAGGCAGTGCGGAGGCTGGGCCATGGGGACCCCACAGCAGGCAGCCCCTCAGCTGAAACAGGGCCCACTTGGCAGGACGCTGCTGCTTCAGAGAGGACTGGCCTCCACAGCCATTCTCTCACTTGCTCCAGACACAGTATCCCAGGAGGACCTGATTGGCTGAGCTTCAGCTACATTCCCACTGGCCCTGTCCCAGCCCCTGGGTGCTGATGTTGTGAGTGGCCTACATCACGGGTCACTCTCCCACCAAAACCAGGAGGAGAAAGCCTAAAAAGACTGAAGAAAGAGATGGGTTCTGAGCTACATTCTTTTCCAAAAGGCTTTGTAAAAACAGTACTTCTCATTTTTATTTTAAGAGTGATTATTTAAGATGTACATGAAAATCCCACTTGATCTTCCAAAATCTTAGCTGAGGATGTCTGGATGGTGGTAGTGCCAGGACTCCTCACTGGTCTAGCTCGTAGTCTAGTGGGCTTGCCCCCCTCCTGGCCCCTGCAGGTGGCCTGATCTGCTTAGTCTGGGCTGGTTTTCCTTACAGGTTACATAAGGACAGGCTCGATCTTTCTGGCCCAAACTCAGGACCGGCTGATCTCCCTGAAGCGCATCAACTCGAGGCTGAAGTACGTATGAGGCTAGAAGCCTGTCCCGACGCTCCTGTCAGACTGACCTCTGCCAGAGGGCCATGCATGTCATTGTCCCCTTGTGTTCTGCGGCAGTGTCATAGGCATCCCTTCTGAGATCATCTCCCCCAAGAAAGTCGCCGAACTTCACCCTCTCCTCAACGTGCACGACCTGGTGGGGGCCATGCATGTTCCCGAGGATGCAGTGGTGTCCTCTGCTGATGTGGCTCTCGCCCTGGCAAGTGCTGCCTCCCAAAATGGTAAGGAGGTGTCTGGGTGAGGAAGGAAGAGTTTACGTAGGAAGGTATCTTACCATCAGCATTGATACCAGCTTGCCTTCTGTGTTTTTTTGGTTTGTTGTTGTGTTTTTTTTTTTTTTTTTTTTTTTTTTTGCCTTCTGGTTTTGAACACTGGCTCTCACAATATTTGTTTGAATGTACTGTTAATGTTTTTTCTTAGGGCCACATTTTTCTTATTAAAGTTGTAAGAACTGCTTTTATACTGAGCAGTGTGCACTTCAGGCTCCTAGAAATCCCCCCTACACACACACACAGAATCTGAGAGGCTCCGAGGTCAAGAAGCCACAGTGAGGACTGGATCCACAGCTGACTATGTCCTGGGTTTGGAATGAATGAGGGGAGCACTAACCAGTGTCCAAGGTGCTCTGCACTTCAGATGAACTGATCCGAGGTGTGGGTGAATTAGGATTTAAAATGCTGTATTTGAATTTTTTCTCCTATGCCTTTTGTGACTCTGGGAGTTGAGCTGTGTATTACAGTCACCTGCTGTTCTCAGTCTTGGAAGAGGCACACTGATGTAGTCTCAGGATGTGGTTCCCGGGAGTTTTTTTTTTTTTAAATAAAGCACTGATCTGGCATTTTCAGCATTTCTTGGGGGTTGAGAATCTGGTGCAGAGGCCTTTATTCTGCGCCATCAGAGGTTGGATGCACCTAACTCTTTCTTTACCTTGCAACAGGTGTTCAGATCTATGACCGGACAAGCGTTCTTCATGTAATGGTCAAGAAAGGTCAGGTTACTGGTGTGGAGACAGATAAAGGACAGATCGAGTGCCAGTATTTTGTCAACTGTGCTGGTCAGGTAGGTTACCAGCTGTACTGTGTCACTGACTTTCTCACTTAACTGTTACCTCTGGGATTTTAGGTGTAGAAACGTAGGGTCAGTACTGTGTTGGGCTAAGCACACGTCAGGGACCACATGTCCCTTGTTTGGACTAGAAACCTCAAAATCCTTTACTCTAAATCAGAAGACCTCTAGCTAGTGCTCAGAGAGGAGCACTGGGGTGACCTCTTCCTTCCTCCACCCTGGGTTAATCGGTGCTCTCCTGGCCAGGAAGTCTGTGAAACAGTCGGGCATTGACAGAAATCCTTGGCGTTGGGTCTTCTATGATATTTCCTTTCATCCTGCAACCTGGCAAATAAAATATGAGGCAATTTTTTTAAGCTTTTGTTTATTTATTCATGAGAGCAGAGAGAGGCAGAGACACAGGCAGAGGGAAAAGCAGTCTCCATGTAGGGAGCCCAATGAAGGACTCAATCCCGGGACCCCAGGATCCTGGGCCAGGCTGAAGGCAAACAAACGCTCAACCGCTGAGCCACCCAGGCATCCCATGAGGCTGTTTTTTTTTGTGTTGGGAGCATGGATTCAGTTTAGAATACTAAGCTGCTTCTACTTTTAAGGCAGATTGGTCCCTTGCTTTCCACTCTAGTCTTTAGGTGACCTAGGGGTACTTTTTACCTTGTGAATGAAGGCTGAGTGGGATGGTGTCTGGGGTTTGTAGTTGAGGCCAGGCATTTTGTTAAAAGGGCCTCACTTGCCCCCCATGAGCTCCTTTTACTAGCTATTAAATCTCTCATTCTTTGGTCAAGAATAATTGTTATGGTGTAAGAAGTATAAAGTTGCTCCCCATCCACATAACTGTGTATAGGAGGCTACAGCTTGTCTCCCTGCCCCTGACACTGGGGCCAGAGTGCACACAGGCCACTTGAAATCAAACTCTTTGCAAATGGATAAACTTGCTCATTTGTCTTTTCTCTTCCTCTTCTCACCCACAAATCAATCTGTCCGTTTGTAGTGGGCATACGAGCTGGGTCTGTCCAACGAGGAGCCGGTTAGTATCCCGTTACATGCCTGCGAACACTTCTACCTTCTGACTCGCCCCTTGGAGACCCCTCTGCAGAGCAACACACCAAGTGAGGACTTCTGCTTTGTTTTTAATATTGTTTCCTTGCCACTGTCCTGTCCTCTGAAAAGGAAGACTTTCTGCCCAGGACAGACTGTGCTCGAAAGAGCCTTATCTTTTCTGGAGCATGTTATAAGGAGGCCGACCCAGTTCTACCTTTTCTCTAAGAGCTCTTTATGAAAGGATGGACAAAAACGCATTCCACTGAAGCAGTTTTTTGGTTGGTTTGTTTTATAAGCTAATTGCAATCCCAAACAGAGGTCCAAATTGAGAATATTTGGAATGCAACCTGGAGTTTTTGACGTGAATGACATATATTGTAGAGAGATTATTAGGTAAGCTACAGAATCACATGGCTCCATGGCCCCAAGCACCACAGGGGAGGGCTTGACATCACCTGAAAGGTCTCAACCCCTAGAATGGGCTTAGGGTCCCCCCTTTCTGCTAGGCTTTAAATGGCATTGTGGTAGTTCCGTAGTTTGGTTGTGAGGACCAATTAGAGCTTCTAGGTTAACTGCTGAGGTTAGGGACGACCAGGGAAATAGTCTCCACTGTAAATCTGAGAGGGAAGATCCTTCCCGATGATCTCAGAAGATCTGTGTTTACTGGATGCTCTTTCGCTAATAAAGCCAGTAATGGTGTTTTTGTTCTGCTTTTTCTGTCCATTTAGAAAGTTGGCCTACCTCTAAACCTTGTTTTTCTCTTCTGTTCCCCACTCCCTTGTTGTTTCCCTTCCTCAGCTATTGTGGATGCTGATGGAAGAATTTATATCCGGAACTGGCAGGGTGGCATCTTGTCTGGGGGCTTTGAGAAGAACCCGAAGCCAATCTTCACTGAGGGCAAGAACCAGCTGGAGATTCAGAATCTGCAGGAAGACTGGGATCACTTTGGTGTGTGAACTAGAGGATGACTATAATGTCCTGTGTTTGTCTAAGATGCTATCTTTTGAAAGCATTTTCAAGAAGAGTTCCTTCTTTGATCTTTGTCACCACCCCACGAGGTGCTCCCAGGGGGCAGTCTACAGAGTTCACCTGGTCTAAGGCGAACTGGGTAGCAGATTCAGGGGACGAAGATCTTGGTCAAGGGACCTCTGGCTAATTACTTACCTAAAACCATTGCTGAAATTCTAGGCTAGAAGGAGACTTTTTTGTAGGATGGCATGTAAGATTGAAGAAGAAATTTTTAGAAAGCAGAATCTTTTTTGTTAATATGGTCTTCTATTCAGGTTTTATTTTTTTTTATATTGAAGAAGAATTGGGCTATGATACTGTTTTAGTTTCAGGTGTACATCATAGTGATCTGGTATTTATATGCAACTTGATTTTGTAATTTCATTTTTGTTTCCTAGTTAATATAGTCCCATAATCCAGGTTCAAAAGATAAAAGGGTCTATAATGAAGAGTCTTCCCTCCTATCCTTAATGGACTTTTTTTAAAAAATAAACTTTTTATTGTGGGAGATTTCAGACTTTTTTTTTATTTTTTTTATTTAAATTTTTTTTTAATTTTTATTTATTTATGATAGAGAGAGAGAGAGAGAGGCGCAGAGACACAGGCAGAGGAAGAAGCAGGCTCCATGCATCGGGAGCCCGACGTGGGACTCGATCCCGGGTCCCCAGGATCGCGCCCTGGGCCAAAGGCAGGCGCCAAACCGCTGCGCCACCCAGTGATCCCGAGATTTCAGACTTTTAAAAGTGGAGAGAATAGTATATGGATTCTCCTGCCAGCTCCAGTCTGGTTTCATCCGTTGCCACTGTCCTAGTGGAATAATTCCCAGATGGTGGGCTTACTGGCACACAAGCCAAGGACCTGTCTTTTGCAGCTGGTCCAGTTTAGGAAATCCTTGCTTTGATTGCATGTCCCCTTGGGTGCTATGGAAGAGATTGTCCCCAAGTACTGCTCCCCTGGAGATCTTGCCTAACGCTCGTGTATTGTGTGTCCTCCTACAGCTTCTGGTCATTCTGAAGAGTGTCTTTTTTTCTCAGTCTGTATGCCATGCACTTTGTGGGGTTGCCCCTTAATTCCACCATGGTTTCTGCTTTCTGGTCAGGGCCCATTTGGCTCTTCTGAGAAAGCCTCTTTCAGGAAATTTTCTCTGCAAGGAGAGGGAGGGAGTAGGGAAGCCCGTGGATTGGGAAGTTTCTGAATTCCCTAAAGCTGAGGACCATGTTTGGGTTTGTGTTTCGGGTTCAGAGCCCCTGCTGAGTTCCCTCCTGCGGCGCATGCCTGAACTGGACACTCTGGAGATCATGAAGTTGGTGAACTGCCCCGAGACCTTCACCCCAGACATGAGGTGCATCCTGGGCGAGTCTCCTTTGGTGCAGGGCTACTTTGTCCTGGCAGGAATGAACTCTGCTGGCATCTCCTTTGGTGGAGGGGCTGGGAGGTAAGTGTTCCTGCTGACACTCTGCTGGTGGGGCTGCTTCCTTCCTAGAGTTACTTGTTCCTGATGTTGTGTGTAATGTCCAGGTGTAACCTGGTATGTTAATGAGGAAGATATACACCTAATTTGAGAGTTGTCCATTTCAAAGTAATGACTGTGGATGTCCCAGAAGTGTCATCGTGCAAAGTATTTTGGGAACTCCTCTTCTGGAATTGTTCTTGGAGCCTGTGGGCTGTACTTTTCAGTTCTTGCAGCGGTTACAAATGTTGATCCTGGGACAAATGGGTGGCTCAGCGGTTTAGTGCCTGTCTCTGTCTCTCTGTGTCTCGCATGAATAAATAAATAAAAATCTTTTTTAAAAAATGTTGATCCTTTGAAGGCATTTGAGTTTGGAAACCGTTAAGTACTGTGAGTAAGACAGATGATCATGCTGAGTAAGGTGGGTCTTTTTTTTTTTTAAGATTTTATTTATTTATTCATGAGAGACACAGAGAGAGAGAGCGAGAGAGAGAGAGAGAGAGAGGCAGAGACATAGGCAGAGGGAGAAGCAGGCTCCATGCACCGGGAGCCCGACGTGGGACTTTATCCCGGGTCCCTAGGATCAGGCCATGGGCTGAAGGCGGCGCTAAACTGTTGAGCCACCTGGGTTGCCTAAGGTGGGTCTTTTTAAAAAAATTATGTACCAGTTAAAATAAGCCAGTCAGGGATCCCTGGGTGGCGCAGCGGTTTGGCGCCTGCCTTTGGCCCAGGGCGCGATCCTGGAGACCCGGGATCAAATCCCACGTCGGGCTCCCGGTGCATGGAGCCTGCTTCTCCCTCTGCCTGTGTCTCTGCCTCTCTCTCTCTCTCTCTCTCTCTCTCTCTCTCTGTGACTATCATAAATAAATAAAAGTATTTAAAAAAAATAAAATAAGCCAGTCAGAAAGGACAAATATTGTGTGGCTGCACTTTTGTGAGTTACTTCAGAGTGTAGGGGCGATGGCCAGGGTTGGGGTCAGGGGAGGGAGTTTCAGTTTGGGAAGATGATGAATGAATTCTAGCGGTGGATGGTGGGGACTGTCACACAGCCGTTCAGAGTACCTCATGCCTCTGAACCTTACACATGAAAATGATGAAGATGGTAAATTTTATGTTCTGTTTTATGTTCTGTCATGTTCTGTGTATTTTATCGCAATTAAATTTTTAAATTTTTTATTAATGAGGCCATTTTTTTCTTTAGTGGCTTGTAGAATGGTTCTGAAAACAGTTATGGAAGAGGAGTTACTAAAAGTGTTTGGAACAGAAATGTGGTCAGATAGTTGTATAACGACCTGAGGGTTTTCCAGAAAAAAACCATTGGATGTATAAATTAGAGTACATTTGTAATTTTATTTTAGTCTTTTTTTAATAGATGTGGCTTATTTTTAGAACACTTCTAGGGAATCTTATTAGAGCTAAAATCATCGTAGTGGTTTTGAGAGCAGTAGATGGATCCGTATTTGTTTAGAAAAGTTAAGGAAATTGCCCCAAATTTTCAACCAATCTGTGACCAGACAGGATGTTTCTGTTGGTTCTTGATTCCGTGTACAGTTGGGAGAGCGTCCCATCTGAGGCCCAGCAACTTCCCCCACATCTAAACAGGTACCTCGCCGAATGGATGGTGCACGGTTATCCCTCAGAAAACATCTGGGAACTGGACCTGAAGCGTTTTGGAGCACTCCAGAGCAGCCGCACCTTTTTGCGCCACCGGGTCATGGAAGTCATGCGTGAGTGGAGCTCTGGCCCAGCTGCACCTCGCTGAAGGGATCTTCCCTCGAGCCTGTGTGATCATTCTGAGTGGGGGCAGGTTTTTCCTTCAGTTGTGTAATAATTGCTGTGAGTCAGGCTTCTGATGTTTGGTTGGGGGACGAGGCCCCATGTGACATTTGTGGGACAGTCTCTTTAGTATATTGTTTTCTACTTAACCTCGGGGAACAGGAACGCAGACTAGGACTTTCAGGTGCTGGTTGCTGTCCAGTCCCCGCAGCAGCTTCTTGTAGATTCATAGTGTTTGCCATCTGCTTTCCACTTTGCCTAGAATGCCAGGTAATGCTCTTGCTGCCTCTTTTATCTGTGATCATGGTGTGCTTTCCATGGCAGAGAATTTGCCAGGTTATTCTCAAAGCTTCAAGCTTCTCTGAGTGATCTTTGCCATTAACTGTAACATGCTAGCAAGGTAGGAAACCACTTCTTGGGTAAATACAGAATGTACATTACTGTTCTTCTCCTTGTTCTCACTTCCCTCCAACTTTGAAAGGCTCTTTATTTTCACTTGTTATCTTGTCTCTGATTTATTTTCTAGCAAGCTCTTAGAGCCAGCTTTTGTATCAGGAATTGAACCAAATCAGACTGTCGTGTCATTGTCCTATACTGAGGAACAATTCTGAGACTGCCAAAATGTACCTGAATATTTGGGGCATATTTCTGCTCACAGCTAAATTTCTACACTGGTTGCGACCACCATTCTTGGTTAACAGTGAATTGTTGGTTTAGTAGCCGGGGTTCCATTGATGACGAGGCTTTAGATAACTGTTAGCACCTGCATGCTCCTCTAGCCTGTGGCAGAGAACTGTCGGAGTCACGGGGTCTGGCAGCAGTGTGGGTGGCCACTAAGGTTCTTCAATTTTAATAAATATTTTAGTTAAAATGTTGACCTGCCATAAGTCCTGGCTTCCCCAGGCATAGTTCGTTTAGAATCTGTGCAAATCATAATGGAGCTTAAGTTTGTCCTTGAGAACATGATGCCTGTCTCTGGTTCTCACATGATAGAAACTGGGGAAAGTGTAAATTGGACCTCCAGAGTGAGGGGAGATTGAAAAATCGTCACAGGGTAGAGCAGCCAGTGTGGCTCCTTCTCTTGGACCTCTCAGCCTCCCCTCCCTGTTGTCCCTCTTATGTGGAATGCTGTAAGGTCAGGTCTTCCCTGTGCAAGGGACTAGAGATCACACTCTTTCTGGCTATTTTTACAAACTGCTGTTGCTGATTAGGCACAAGAAAAATGAATTCTGACCCTGGCTTTGTTATGTGATGTCACTGGGACAGGACTATGTAACCTGTCCGATTTCAGAGCCACAAAATCAAGGCTGTGGGCCCCTTCACTTCAGAAATGGGTTAGGTGTTAGGAAATGTCTGTACCAGTTGTGAGGTCTCAGTGACAAAGGCACTATGTAAAGAAGCATGTGCCACGTTTGCACACTGCAGCCCCGGCATGCTCGTGCTGCAGCCGCCTTCTGCCGAGAAGTCTGACCTCCTGCTTGCGGTTTCTGCCTATGGATTTGAAATGATAGTTGTGAGCAGAGACCTGGAGCTGTGTGGCTCACAGCTGCGTACCCACGGAGGGATGACAGCGGTTCTTGCAGCATTATTCTTTCTTTTGGAGCCGGCCTGTTACACCGGGTACTGTTTGCACATTAGGTCCATTAGCCTGGAGAGTGTGCTTTTGTGACTAGGAGCAGCTCCTGGTTCTGGTGGATGTTGTGTTCCCGGCCCGGCAGTTTGGGCTTGCAGAGACTGTTCTATTCTGTTCCAGCTCTGCTGTATGACCTGAAGGTTCCCCGTTGGGACTTCCAGACCGGGAGGCAGTTGCGCACCTCTCCTCTCTATGACCGGCTGGATGCACAAGGAGCCAGGTGGATGGAGAAACATGGATTTGAGAGACCAAAGTACTTTGTGCCACCGGACAAGGGTAAGAGGGCCCGTTCTCATTTTTGTTCTTTTTTGCTCTAAGAATCAATAAAACCCATTTAAAATGTATTACAGCTAGAATGTGTTCCTAGAAGAATAAAGAAGAAAAACCTTCAAACTATACCAACGTGTATATAGAGTCCCCGATAGAAATCTCTTTTCTCATTTCCTTTCATTGTGTCCGCAGACCTCCTAGCACTGGAGCAGAGCAAGACTTTCTATAAGCCAGACTGGTTCGACATTGTGGAATCTGAAGTCAAGTGCTGTAAGGAGGCCGTGTGTGTCATCGACATGTCTTCTTTCACAAAGTTTGAAATAACAGTAAGTGCTTGGGAACAAAAGAATAGAGGAGGACCCTGTGCATATACATGAATGCACCTTCTTTGCTGTCACTTTAAAACAGCTTCTATAAGAACTCTGGTATAGGGATCCCTGGGTGGCGCAGCGGTTTGGCGCCTGCCTTTGGCCCAGGGCGCGATCCTGGAGACCTGGGATCGAATCCCACGTCGGGCTCCCGGTGCATGGAGCCTGCTTCTCCCTCTGCCTGTGTCTCTGCCTCTCTCTCTCTCCCTGTGTGACTGTCATAAAAAAAAAAAAAAATTAAAAAAAAAAGAACTCTGGTATATTTTCATTTTTTATCTATATTATACCGGTTTTCTGAATTTTTAGCTCTTTTAGTCTGCTTGCAGAGGCCCACTTTTCCTTCGACTCCAGAGGTAGCTTTCTCTGGAGCTTCTTGAGTGGAGTAAATCCATAGACCTTGCTCACAGGGACCAGAGGAGTTTCCTCAGCAAGTCACTCTGCATGGTGGACTGTGTCACCTGGCCACATGTGCTTGTGCTCATGTGCTCTGCTTTGCTCCCTCACCCTACAGTCCACCGGGGACCAGGCACTGGAAGTTCTACAGTACCTCTTCTCCAATGACCTGGATGTGCCCGTGGGCCACATTGTGCACACCGGCATGCTCAACGAGGGCGGGGGCTACGAGAATGACTGCAGTATAGCGCGCCTGAGCAAGCGCAGGTGAGGCCCCCCTGCCCCCCCCACCCACCCTCTGAGGACGAGATGCAGTAGAGCAGAGCCCCCAGCTCACTTACCCGGGAGGGAGTATATACTGAGGAAAAAGAGGTTTCAGCAGCTCCTGCCTCGTCTGTTGGCAGTGCAGTACAAACACAAATCACAAGGGAAGGAGAGAGAACACCCCAGATTCTGTAGAACTCGATGTGGACAGATCAGTCACCCTAGAGGGCAGATGTGTTCACTTATGGTAGTAGCTATCTTGGCATTAACAGGAAGCCAGAATCTTCTGTTTGGTCCTTGGGTGGTAGATCCAGGAATTAGGTGCTACTGGCCCTCTCTGAAAGCTCAGACCATTTGCCAGTCTTGTGCTCACTGGTCGCTTTGAAATGAATTAACTTGCCTGCTTCCTGACCCATTGCCTGCTGCCTGGCTCTCATTACTCTCTGCCTCCCTTTCAGCTTCTTCATGATTTCCCCAACCGACCAGCAGGTCCACTGTTGGGCCTGGCTTAAGAAACATATGCCAGAAGATAGCAACCTGCTCCTGGAGGACGTCACCTGGAAATACACTGGTGAGCTGGGCCCAGGCCATCAGCTGCATGGGAAACTACCAGTCCGTCCACATATCTTCTCCGTTTGTCTTCTTTCTGTTTGATGTTCAGAGGTGGGGGTCAGAGTGAGAGGCATATAAGAGCCTCTCTGGTCGTATGTCGATCTCTAATACCCACATTCTGTCAGTGAGGTGTGGAGTGAGTTGTGCTTCACTTTCGGTTTGTTTTGTGCACTGCTCTATCCCCTATAGCCAGTGTGGAGGAGCACAAGTATTGGTCAGATATTGAATGGGTCAGTCATTTGAATGGTATTTTTTTCTTTTTATATTTACTTACCTATTTGATGGGGTGCTTGGGTGGCATAGTCCGTTGGGCTCCCACTGTTGATTTTGTCTCACGTCATGATCTCAGGGATCATGAGATCAAGCCCTCTGTCAGGCTCTGTGCTCAGCCTGGAGTCTGCTTGAGATTCTCTCTCTTCCTCTCCCTATCTTCCCTCCTATATGCATGCGCTCTCTCTAAAATAAATGAGTCTTTTTTTTTATTTTATTTATTTATTTATTTATTTATTTATTTATTTATTTATTTATTTATTTATTTTATTTATTTATTTATGATAGTCACAGAGAGAGAGAGAGAGAGGCAGAGACATAGGCAGAGGGAGAAGCAGGCTCCATGCACCGGGAGCCTGATGTGGGATTCGATCCCGGGTCTCCAGGATCGCGCCCTGGGCCAAAGACAGGCGCCAAACCGCTGCGCCACCCAGGGATCCCATAAATGAGTCTTTTAAAAAAAAAAGACTTGTCAGCAGACTCCATGCTGAGTGCTAAGCCCAACTCAGGGCTTGATCTCACAACCCTGAGACCATGACCTGAGAAGAAATCAATAGTTAGTCGGATGCCCAAATGACTGTGCCACCCAGAAGCCCCCAAAAGCATTTTTAAATTTATTACTTAAGTAGTATTTTCTTCAGAATTTCTCCTTATTTTTTTTAAGTGAGTGAATAAGTTTTGAGGATGACTTAATTTCCTGATGATCTCCTCCTCAGCAGTCCTGTTGGGACTTCTATTTCCCCTTCAATCTCCTCATTCCAGGTTTAAGATCTGCCCACCCCCCACTTAACAAATTCCTGCCCCTTGTCCCAGCAGGCCCTCACCGCCAGTTCATCATAGCAGCAACTCCATTTAACTTCTTGCTACCTGATTGGGAAACTATAGAACCACAGTTGTTTTCCAGCCTCTGAGGTTGCTGTGTAATTACCACAACCTGCTGTCATGTGATGGGATCCAAAGTGGTTGGGCAGCTCTCCTCAGGGCTCTCCTCCAAGTGCAGATTTGGGATTGGGCTGTGCCTGTCACGTAGCAATGCTGGGGAGGAGACACAGTGCGAACTGAAAGCGGGCTCCTAGCCTGTTGGCCGGAACAGATCACAACCCAATCTAACTGCATTTGAGGCTATGGGATGTTGTCTCCCTGTGTACCCGGGAAGAGGAAGCACGCTCTCTCTTGCCAGCATTCAGCAGCTGCATTTAGAGGTGTGGTCCCCAAAATTGGGGTGCTCTGTGTCCACCCTTGGATCACCTAACCAAAAGGTTGGTTTTATGGTTTCAACACCCAGGCCGGGGTGTCCAAAACAGACTTTTCTCTTTGGCTCAGCTGTTACCTGGATGAGCATCTCTTGTTCTTTTCGTTTAGCCCTCAATCTGATTGGTCCTCGGGCTGTGGATGTGTTGTCTGAGCTGTCCTATGCTCCTATGACTCCAGACCACTTCCCAAGTCTGTTTTGCAAGGTAAGTGCTAATAAAGTTTTAGCTTTTTTTTTTTTTTTAAGATTTTATTCATGAGAGACACAGGAAGAGGGAGAAGCAGGCTCCTCTCAGGGAGCCCGATGTGGGACTCAATTCATAGACCCCGGGATCACGCCCTGAGCCGAAGGCAGACACTCCAGGTGTCCCAAAGTTTTAGTTTTAAATGGGCAGGGAATATTTCTTTTATGGGGATGGCAATTACATGTTCTTATTGTAGCATTAATGCCCACAAAGGGTATTCTGGCTTTTATTAAGTAAACAAATGACTAAATTCATTTTTTAAAATTTTTTACCCTTCCAGTTCTCCTTATTCAGTAAGCATTAGGATATCTTTGAAGTGGATTTAACTTCTCAGAATATCAGTCCTGTTTATTTAGTGTTTTGTGTTTGTGTAGCAGTGGATTAAATATTTTAAGTTTTAAAGGATTATGATGCTGATGCCAAAAAATGGTAGTTAGGTCAGGTCCCTCTCCTGGCAACGCTTCCCCCTTTCCCTTCAGAGAGTAACTTCTGTGTATGTGGCATCTCCATGTGAGAAGCAGTTTAGGCAAATCTCTAAACAGTTTATGTTTCTTAAATTTGGCAACAGTAGCAATTTGTAATTGTGTAAAGAAACCTGAACTAAATCCTGATGAGAGTCCCAAACAGACTAGTGGGTTTGGTAACCTGTAACAAACAGCTGCCAGTTACTGATGGACGCTCTCTGAAGTTCAAACCCAAGCTGGATCCACCTACTGGCAGTATAGTTTTCCTTTTTCTCCATGGTGGAGTGAGAGCAACAGAAAACTCTTGCATTAGCCATCAGCCGGAGAGGGTCCCTGTACCGTTTGCTTCCTGAGCGAGTGATCTGCATGTATGAGCCTACAGAGGAGCATGTCATGTTGGGCTCCTCATGGGAATAGTTTGCTTTAGTGGCATCTGGGACCTACCACTTTCCATGAGAGGAACAGTGATTGTGTCAGAGGCCCATGAGGTAACTGAGCTGCTATGAATACGTTTTGAGTGTGAGAAGCCCGGTCTCTGACCCCAGAGTAGCAGGTGCATCATGTTCTGTGGTCATCAGGCATCCTGTTTTGTAGGGCAGGTGCCCAGGACTTGACCACCAGAGCACAACCAACCCCCCACTGCCCGCCCCCGCCCCCCCTCCCCCCGCGCCCCAGGAAGACATTTACCTGGTCCTTGGTGCTCCTGATGCCGATGAAAACAAATCTTTAGTAGGACTTTGCAAAAAGAAAGGTTTCATGCTTATAAAGACTGGTTCAACTTCCCACCAGCAGCTTGGTAGCATTCTGGAGAAGAGAGACTGTAGAGATTGTACTCCTTTCCTGGTGACCCCAGTACTTGGAAACAGACCACTTTGAGGATGAATTTCTTTCATTCATGTGTATCCCCTTTAGGGTCAGACAGAGGGTGCAGAGCTCAGGAGGGGTTCACCTCAGGTGTTCATCACTTTAGCAGACATGGCGCCCTCACTTCTCTGAAGAGCCTCTGTGCTGCCCTTCTCCCTTTGCTTCCACAGGAGATGAGTGTGGGCTACGCGAATGGGATCCGGGTGATGAGCATGACTCACACAGGAGAGCCGGGATTCATGCTTTATATCCCCATTGAGGTGAGCCTCACAGAGGAAGGTGGCTTGCTGGGCACTGGCGGGGCTAGAGAGCCCTGTCTGACCAGGCCTTGGGTACTGAGAAAGGCTGCAATAGAGGGACTTGAACATTCTGAACTAAGTTACATACTGTTTTTGAAGAAGAAATACATTTACATGGTTTAAACATAAAAACTTGTAGGAAGGATTTAGTGCCATCCGACCAGTTCCCACCACCCACCACTAATGAAGCAAGTATTGGTTTTTGTACGTCATGTCAGCAGTTTCTGTGCATATGCAAGCAAATTCAGAGACATTCACAAGGCCCTTTTCAGAAACACAGATGAAAGCGTCCTGCTGCTGTTCATCTTGATCTCTTAACGATTTCTCGTAGAGATTCTTCCTGGTCAGTACCTAAAGAGAAGAGCTTCCTCTTTCTGTTTTAACAGTGGTTAGTATTCCATCAAATCATCGAATCATAATGTATTTTATTAGTCTGATACCAATAGACATTAATGGTTGTAGCCCTCTGCTGTCCTTTGCTGTTTGAGGTTCTGCGTACGAGTGTCTCCGCGTGGCGTGTGTGTGCACACACCAAGACAGCTTTTTCACATTTTGGCTGATAGGTACAGAACGTCATTGAGCTTTTAATTGTTTTCATGTGTGAAGCAACTTTTCAGAATCCATTTCCAAGTAAAAGCTTATCTGTAGGACCCACGTACTCCTGCCTGCCCATCCTCCATGGTGTTCTTCGGACCTCACCCTATCTCGAGCTTTGCACTTGCTGTTCCCCCTCCTTGGCGTGTCCTTCTCCCACATAGAGGTCCTCACAGCCACACCTGCTTCAGATCTTGTTCACATGGCATCTTCTGGATGAGGCCTTAATGGGCGCAGCTACCCCTCTACCCCCTGGTTCTCCCTCTCTGCTTTCCCTGTTTTGTTTTGCTCTATAGTGCTTACCATTGTCTGATAAAATGTATTTTCTTTATTTAGTTCATCAGATTACCCTTGTTTAAAGGTAAGTTCTCTCAAGGCAGGGTTGTCTGTTTTAACTTTTATATACCCAGCACCTAGAGAAGTTATTTGGCACTTAGTAAATGCTTAATAAATGTTCTGGTCATACCCTTTGTACATTTTTCTATTGAATGATTGTCTTTTTACCAGTTTCTAGGCACTAAATCAATCCTTGCTGCTGAGTTGTAATTTTTTTTCCCAGTTTGTCATTTGTCATTTTTTTTTAAAGATTTTTTTTTCAAGAGTCTGCATGAGTAGGGGGAGGAGTAGGGAAGGAGAGGGTCACAGGCAGACTCCGCACTGAGCCCAATGTGGGACTCGATCTCACCACTCTGAGATTGTGACCTGAGCTGAAACCAAGAGTCAGAGTCTTAACCAACTGAGCACCCAGGTGCTCCTCAGTTTGTCATTTTTCTTTCCATTTGTTTTTTGCCAAGTAAGTTTTTTTAAAAAAAAAATTATGAGAAAAAAATTACGAGAAATGTTGCACGTTACATAAATTTTTTTATTTTTATGTAAATGAGTTCATCTTTTGTGCCTTCTAGAGGTTGATACATAGAAGGGACTTCTGCACTCCAGGACTGTAAAAGTTTTCCAGTTTTCTTCTAGTGCTTTTATAGTTGTATTGTTCTGTTGTATAGGGTTGTGGTTTTTAAAAAATATTTCAGTGCTCCATCATTTTGCATTGTCTCTTGCTGTACTTCATGAGATACCAATCAAACTTTTTTTTCCATGTGAATAACCAACTGATATGACATTCTACCCTTACCAGATACTAAATTCCTGTATGTATTTGGGCTTATTTCTAGATTTTTTATTCTGTTCCCTTGGTCTTTCCATGATCAGGATCACACTGTTTGAATTATTGAGTCTTTATTAGATATCTTAATATTTGGTAGTGCTTATCCTCCAGTGCTTGGAAAATCTGGGGAAAAAAACCTTCGTGTTCCTTATTTCCCCCTTGGAAACTTTATAATTATCTAGTAAAAAACACCATTTTGGGGGGCTTTTTTTTTGGATTATGTTCCATTTATACATTAGGAAGAACTGACATGTTGAATCTTACAAAGAATGCCTTTTAGTTTTTATTCAAGTTTTTTGTGTGACTTTCAGGGTTTTTGAAGTTTTCTTGATACAGGCATAAAAATCTTTCGGTGGTGGTGGTGGTGGTGGTGGTGGTGGTGTGAATGAGAAAGGGTAGCATTGGGATCCCTGGGTGGCGCAGCGGTTTGGCGCCTGTCTTTGGCCTGGGGCGCGATCCTGGAGACCCGGGATCGAATCCCACGTCGGGCTCCCGGTGTATGGAGCCTGCTTCTCCCTCTGCCTGTGTCTCTGCCTCTCTCTCTCTCTCTCTCTGTGACTATCATAAGTAAAAAAAAAAAGAGAGAGAGAGAAAGGGTAGCATTGTTCCGTTATCTTCTAAGTGATTATGATTTTTTTAAAAAGATTGTTAGCACAAGTGGTGGGGAGGGGCAAAGGTAGAGGGAGAAGCAGACTCCCCACTGAGCACAGAGCCTGATGGGGGACTTGATCCCAAAACCCTGAGACCATGACCTGGGCTGAAGGCAGACACTTAACTGACTGAGCCACCCAGGCGCCCCTAAGTGATTATGATTTTTGAAAGCTATTTTTTCTATTGTGTTATTTCCTTACTAAGTTATCTTATAGTTATTTTTCATTTGAGTCCCTGGAATTTTCAGGGTCCAGTCTTACCATATACCAACAGTAATAGGAATTCTTAACAACTTTTGTTCCTACAATTTCTCTTGTCCAGCTGTGACAAGGAGTAGGGATCCTAGGCATCTTTGTCTTGTTCTTGATGTTAGTCACATTACTTACAGCGGTAGGCTTTTTTTTAGTTATTAGCTGAAGCATGGATTTACCAGCCCATGAAATGTTATGTGCTTGTCCAGACAAATATAAGAAGATTAAGATGAAGGGATTATTCACTATTTTGGAAGCGCTCATACAGAGGTAGTTGACTTCTGCCTATATAGGTAGGGATTGATTCTGAAGTGCCACAGGGTCAGTCGGGTTTGCCACTTGAGTGCCTGTCATTAATTGGAAAAACCCAGTCAGGCAGGGAAGGCTCTGTGGTTCTAACAGCTTTATTACTTGAGGCCTTGGTTTCTACTTCTGATTTTCCTGGGTTGGTCCCATTTTTATGATTTTTCCATGAGGCCAGGAAGTGATTTGTGTCCTGCGTGGGTTCTTTTCAAGCTGACTTTCATTCTCAGTAAGGTTATATGGTTGACCCTTGAGTCATGTTGGGGGGGTCAGAAGCACCTTCCCCCTACTCAGTCTAAAGCTCTGTGTAAAACTTCAGACTCCTCACAGACCTGCACTAATAGCCCACTGTTAACTGGAAGCCCTAAAGTTGATGAATACATACTTTGTGTGCTATGTATACTGTGTACTGTAGTCTTACAATCCAGAAGGCTAGAGAAAAGAAAATGTTAATAAAATTCTAAGGAAAATACATTTACAGTCTGGTACCGTATTGAAAAATCCATGGGCACGTGAGATCCACGCAGTTGAAACCCATGTTAACTATACTTGTCAACTATACATATGTCTCTTTGAGGGAATGTCTTCCAGAACTTGGCAGCAAGTGGCAGATTGTTTTGTTCACACTAAATCCCCAGCACTTAGAAAATGAGTATGTGCTGGGGACCTACTTTAAATCTTTCTTCTCTGGCCTTCCTCTTAAGTACTCAGCTTGAGGCAGCAAAGGGCAAATGTACCAGGGAAGCCGGCTTATTCTCATTTCCTTATCAGCCCCGCCCCCTGCCCCATTCAAACGCCGTAGCCGCTTGCGTGTGGATTCAGTGTGGTGTGGATTCCATAGCATGAAGGCTCTTGCCAAAGTTCACAGCATCCTGACTGCCGTGGCCCATTCGATAGGCGCCTACTCAGTTGTAGGAATGCCACCGGCAGGGCAGCGGACCCCACCAGGGGAAAGAACTGCAACACCAATGAAAGCTGGGGTTCTGCATCTTCCACTTTTATTGAGCTGTCATGGGAACACACCGCTGGACAGATTTGAGGTGCACAGCATGGCGGCCTGAGGTGCCCTGTGAAAGAACTACTGTGCTGAGTTTCATGAGTGTCCTTCATCTCTCATAAATATGATAAAAAACACAAAAGGTGTTTTCCAGGTGAAAACACTTAGGATTCACTCCCTTAACAACTTCAGCCTTGGTCACATAGCAGGGGCATGCAGTTCTCAGGGTGTCTGCTCCCTTCCTGGTTCCATTTGTCTCCTACCTGTAAGTCCTGTCTTCTGCCCTCTCTTCCTCCACTTCCCCCCACCCCCACCTTGCACTCCCCACCTCTGTGAACCACAACTCTGATCTGTGGGTTTGCATTTTTGTTTTAGATTCTACACGTAAATGTGATTGTACAGCATTTCTCTGCTTGTCGTTTTTTCTGTTTTACAGTTTTTAAAGCAAATAATGTAGTCTGTTCTGGGCTTTAGATTCCACAGAGTATGTTTAGGCAGGGATTGAACATTGGCTTTCTGTTTGGCAAACTTTGTTTATTTAAGGTATCTGATACTTACAGCTTCTGGAACCAAGAAAAGAATGCCATGAGGCTGGCTGTTGTGGGACACAGGTGGGGGGACACTGCCTTCCTGGCTCCTCTGTGACTCGATCTGGGTCTCTCAGATGTGCTGTCACCTGTGAAAAGTCAGACATTGTACATAGAGTTCCGTGTGACACATTCCACAGCATGGCAGTGCCTAAGGGGTCATGGTGGGGGGGGGGAACAAAGCCAGGGCAGATGAGCAGGCTGTTTGAGAGGCAATTAGGGGCCTGGCCACTGACTGGATGGTAAGAGTACACCTGGGAGTGTTACTTGAGGATTGTTTCCTGTCCTAGGCACTAGAGAGAAGGGGAAGATACGGGTACTGCTTTCATGGAGCTTATGTCGGGGTTAGGGGTAACCCTGGCTCATTACTCCTCAGCAGTAGTGCTTTAGTTTGTCAAGGATGAGACATCCTGAGAATTTCATACGACCTTCTCCCTTGTCAAGGTCAATGTTATCTGCTATCAGCACTGCCAGACACCCCCATGTTGAATTCTAAAGGTGTGCAGGTTACTGACGTCTCGTCTCCCCCCTCTAGTATGCCCTGCATGTGTACAACGAAGTGATGAGTGTTGGGCAGAAATACGGAATCCGGAATGCTGGGTACTATGCTCTTCGTAGTCTTCGAATTGAGAAGTTTTTTGCCTTCTGGGGTCAGGATCTAAATACCCTCACCACCCCCCTGGAATGTGGACGAGAGTCTCGGGTAAAACTGGAGAAGGTACTGTATCTGCACAGCCCACTGCGTACCCCACCGCCACCACAGGAGCAGAATCCTCCACAGGAAACGTGGAAGGCCCAGGGATGGCCTTGGGTGGACGAGGCCAGTGAGGATGCCCTTAGAATAAAAAACATGTCCGTCCTGATATGAAAACTGGCTGTGAACACTTGGCGCTTCCCACACCTCCCTCGTACAACCCCGAGACCGAGTGTCGCGTGCTTCCCTGTCTGAGCCATCCAGGAGCCCCACTTGGCTCTCCTTTAGACTGAGTGCTTTCAGGGAAGTTTTTCCATTAACATGCACGGGTATTTGTACAAATTACTCATCTTATATTCACTTGCCTCATATTTTGTTTCTTTTTAAAGTAAATACACCATTAAAAAAGTCATAGGTCAAGAGGATAGGAATGGCAGGTCTCTTTCCCACCTCTGAACCCCACTGAACTGCACTGCGAGCTTCCGCAGAAGCACCAGCGTAGCGTGTCTCTTTGAGTGCTCCGGGCAGTGCAAACACACAGCATGCACTCCCCTCCGCCTAGCTGGAGGATTCCACATGCTTGCTTCATCACACCTTGTTTTTTTAAACTTAATATCTTAGCAATCCTTGCCTATCGTACAGTAGATCTACAGTCTTTTTCTGATAAAAAAAAAAAGTAATCTACACTAATTTTGGAAGATAGGGAAAAGTATCAAGAAAATTAAAAATCACCATTTGATCATGATCACTCAGTTTCTGTCCTGCTCAGGTTTCCTGTACATGCAAACATATATAGTGACATTGATACCTATGCATGGGCTTTTTGTTTAGATTATATGTGTGTGTGTGTGCGTATATATAAACATTTTTCTAAGATCTGACAAGTATTTTTGATTTTTCTTCTTTTTTTTCCTATGTGGTCTTGTGGTTGAAATCGGTTTATAAAATGTGTGCCTGTGTTACAGAAGTCCTCTGAGGAGATCTTTTACATGGCGAACGCAGTTCTTCACGTGGGAAGCCTGGGAGCGGGGCTTGGCGCTGTAACACCGGGGGCCCCTGCCCCTGGCTGCTCTCAGGCCACGCGGCTTGTCCATCCCGTCTCAGCCTTGCCCTTCTCTCCTAGGGGATGGATTTCATGGGCCGAGATGCCCTGCTGCAGCAGAAGCAGAACGGAGTGTACAAACGCCTCACCATGTTCATCCTGGACGATCACGACACAGACCTGGACCTCTGGCCCTGGTGGGGAGAGCCCATTTACCGCAACGGGCAGTACGCGGGCAAGACTACCAGCAGCGCCTACAGCTACACCCTGGAGCGCCACGTCTGCCTGGGCTTTGTGCACAACTTTTCCGAGGACACTGGAGAAGAACAGGTGGTGACAGCAGATTTCATCAACCGGGGAGAATATGAGATTGACATCGCAGGACACCGGTTTCAGGCCAAGGCCAAGCTCTACCCAGTCACCTCACTCTTCACCCACAAGCGCCGAAAGGATGACGTGGAGCTGAGTGACTTGCACGGGAAGTAATGGCCGCCAGTCTTGCTTGCCCGCCTGCCCCCTACTGCAGGGCCCCTCCTCCTCCTGGTCCCGCTCTCAGCTCCTTGATGGGATCTTTAACCTACCAGCTTTTAAATCTTTTGCTTTGCAACCTCTCTCCTCCTTCCCCCTTCCCTTATCCCTTCTGCAGTCTCCATCTGATGCCACTCTGGGCTCTCCCCCCCTCCCCCCAGCCCCATGGTGACACGAAGCCTGACAGGCAGGACAGGCGCAAACTCCACTTTGGAAATAGGTAACCATGGCAGTCTGATTTCTCCTGCTGTGTTTCGAAGCCAGGGAGGCTGGTGGTGTGCAGGCCTCAGGGCAAGAGTCCAGCTCCGTGAGGCCACCTTGCCTCGGAGTAACCTGTTTGTTTTGGAGGGTTGCTGTGGGTTTCAGTCGGCCCTGGGCAAAAGCCTGTGCCGTTGAGCCGGGCAGATCATTCTCTTCCATCGTGCCGTGGGTTGGCACCCTGATACCTCTGGCAAGAGGATGACCATCTACCTCACTCACGAGAGGCGCCACATGGACGTTACCTGGTCTGTAGTCAATGGTTAATCTGGCTCCCTCCTGGCCTCCCTACCGACCCAGTTACTAGACTGTCAGGCCAGGGCCCCCTGCCTAAAATTTTCATGTCTCACTCATTTCTCAGAGGGTTGGAGGCCTCTGTAAAGAAGCCAGTGTTTAAAAGGGAAAACCATGTTGCCTTTTGTGTTGCTTTTCCCAGCTGAATGGGTCTGATCTCAGAAGATGGCCCTGAGGTGGTTTTCTGCTGCTAGAATGCTGCTGCTGCTGCTCTATGCTGTCGCCCCAGCCTGACCCCCCCCTCTTCCCCAAGCACATGCGACTTGGTCTGTCCTCCCTCGCCTGGCCCATTGTAGCCAGCTGGCTCGCTCAGCAACTAGTACTGTACTGGGGAGGAACCAAACCTTGCTGGCTGTGCTGAGTTCAGGAGAGCTGCTGGCCTCCCGAGTTTTGTTTCCTCTGGCCCAGAACAGACATGTCCACACAGAGGTGGCCCACCTGAGTGTGCAGAGGATTTTTTTTTTTTTTTTTTTTTTGTGCAGAGGATTCTGAGTGTGGAGGGTATATATTGTGAATGGGGTGGCCAGCTAGCCCACAGTCTGGGTCTCCAATGGGAAAAGTGTGGGGGTGGGGGTAGGGGTACGAGAAGGCCCTCCACACTTTTAGACGGGGTCTGTTTCCTAAGGGGTGAGAGACCATCACAGACCACTACCCAGCCTTTGCTGTTACTGATTTTAAACTGTTGTCTTGGTACCTTAGAAGCATTAGCTCTGAGAGATCTTTAAGTATCCTAAACAAGGGCCTTTTGTTTTTTGAGCAGCTTACAGTTCTCAGGTGTGTCTGTCTGTGGCATTTCTTGGGATCAGTTTACCCACTTCATCAGAGAGATTCCTTCTACACTCCCCAGCCAGACAATCCCTACTTGATCATTGACAGCCGTGTCCGCTTTTTAAAGAAAGGCTTTAGTTGATTTATTAAGGGAGTAGGTAGGTAGAGGTCTGTTTGCTGAGCGATGCTCCTTGAGGTAGGGAGTAGCGAAGGGGAGAGGTGCGGCCCCGCTGGAGAGCAGAGGGCAGCCGTTGTGATGAGCAGGAACCAGGCACCGGGGCCTCACTGACCAAGGAAGATGGAAACAGGCAATGAGGCACTGAAGGTATCCCATGCTCCGCACCACACTCCTCCTCGTAAATATTTGGGGTTGAATCTAAAAGACCATTCTAGACTTATGTGTAAGTTACATCTTGTCCATAAATAGGGGTCACACTTTTAAGACTCTGGCGAGATGTTAATTTTCTGAGGCATCACTTTAGTGCCCTGACATACACACTTTGCTTTTAGCTCCTTAAAACTCACTCTTGAAATCTCTTTCGGTTAATTCAGGTATTGACAATATGAATCTGGTAGTTTCTCTCTTTGGTCCTAACACTGAAGAGGGTGACTCTCCTGTCTCCAGCAGAGCTGACGGTCAGAACATTGTCATTCCTGGGGCAGCAGGGCCACGTGTGCTGGGCCTTGTGTGACACACACATTTACCTTGTGTGACCGCTCATCTCTTCCTAGAGATTTGTGGGATTTGGATTCCTGAGAATTGTCAGCAGGACTCTGGTTTCAGGTTGCTGGTCCTTTTTCTCTCTGAAATGATCCATGGTCCCCTCTTGTGCTCTCTTCAGGCAAGGGTTCTGCTCTTTTCCTTTTGAACCTAGAAACACAAAGCGTAGGCAGGACCTGCGACAGTAAAGAGAACCAAACAATTCCCACTACATTTCTAGTGCTCTGCCGTGGTGGGGGCTGTACCCCCTAATACAAGAGCTGCCATTCAAGCCAGGGACCCAGAGACCATGAAGCTCGGGGATTAATCTCAGTTGTCCCATTTCTGCAGGAGGGGAGCCTGGTCACTTGGCTTCTCACCAGAAGTCCTGTTCCGGGATTTTACCTTCTTGTACAGACCAGCAGTTCCATTACCTTGCCTCTGAGTGTACCTGAGACATTACCCTACCACCAGCACGGATGTAGCAGGAATGACAGCAGCTTTTGGAAGGTGGTTTTGCTTCACTGAAGAGCTCACCTACCACCCTGCTCTGTTCATCCTCTGCCTGACACACATGCTGGCATCTGAGTGAGTCTTCCCCCTCCTCTGAGAACCTAAGGGAGATAAAAGGGAATCTTGCATAACCTGTAGTCTTGGTTCTGCCCCTGGAAGGCTGTGTCCTGGTAGAACTGCACTGGCACACTTTCAGGGTGTGCTAGCAGGTTGAATTTTCTTTGTAGCTGCTTGGCCAGTATAACTAGTAAGGATCTCCTTACATCCAAGGTGGAGGCTTGGTCACTAGTGCTTAATACTGAAGAACTTTCTACTGTTTTCATTTCTTTTTGTGCACCCCCTCTGCACCTGCCTCCCTCCCCAACTTGATTTAAGCAGCTTTGATCAGCATGATAAAGGGAAGATTTTCAGGAGTCAAGAACTGTCCTCTGCAGGCACAAGGACTCGGGAGCACACAGCAGAGGGGTGGGAACCGTGGAGGACACGTGAAGGTGGAGGACACAGGAGTGTTACGCACTAGCCATGCGCTGCTGGGGCTGGGAGCGGGCTCTGGGCCTGCCGGCAGCGCCTCTCCAGCAACCCCCACCTCAGCCTCATTCACTTTAAGGTGCTGAGTTGTGAGGCTCCCTGTCACCTGTATGGGGCTTGCATTTGCAGTCCCTCATCACTACAAATGCACTATTTTTCAAGAGAATGAAATATTTTTCTATGTGTTTGCCTTCTCTTTGTCCACTAAACATCAGTTATTCATTGTATAATATTCTTGACTTCTCTGAGTAAAGAATCTACGTCCCTTAGAGAACGCATTTCTTCGTGGGCTTGCTTTCTCATTTAGATGTACCTATTTTGCCCTTCACAACCCTTTTCTGCCTTCTTGGTGTCCTGTCTCTCAAGGACAGAAATTAGAAGAGGGTAGGGAGGGTATTTTTAATATCCGTTTCAAAAGATCTGTGCCAGATTTCCTGTGTACACCAAGAACTGGAGATCGGAGCACCTCTCTCCTAGCCCGGTTCTCGTGCCTTACCCCAGAATGTCCCATGGTGGGGTGTAGACAGGAAGGTCGAAAAGAAACTCCAATCTGAGGGCTCCCATCCACTGCACCATAACCTCCGTTCCCTAGACCAACAGGTGTGGGGTAGAAAGTTTCTGAGGCTTCTTCCATTCAAGGGGTTTCTAGCAGCACAGTTACCACTTTAAGAAATGCCATTATAATTATTGTACAGGGCTGTAACTCCTTTATGTTTGTAAATGTGCGGTCCGCTCAGCCCCTCTCTACACATGTAGTGTCAGCTTGTGGTGCTGAAGATAATCTGAGGCGCTTTAGGGGATGGGATTTTTCTTAAGAGCTCTGGTGACTTTAGGTATCTGGGGTGACTGAGCATTTCTGCCTCCACGAATGCCGTATTAACATTGTACACTGTGTTTCTATCAAGCCAGATTCCAATTCAGATTTCCATGTCACTAAGTTTGTAAATGAATAAATAGACATTTTAATTACTCTGGCTGTATCCACATGTGAAATCTTTTTTTTTTTTAATATTTTATTTATTTATTCATGAGAGACACCGAGAGAGAAAGAGGTAGAGACACAGGCAGAGGGAAAAGCAGGCTCCATGCAGGGAGCCCAACGTGGGACTCGATCCCAGGTCTCCAGGATCACACCCTGAGCTGCAGGTGGCACTAAACTACTGTGCCACTGGGGCTGCCCGGTGAAATGTTCCTCATCTCTAGTACCTCAATTACCTGTATTTGCCATCACAAGGGGTAAACACTTTCCATAAATCCATTTATCCTGTTAAAGACTAAGAAAACCATGTGGAAACCAAGGGAATATAGGGGCATTAAGTAACCTCCACGCAGGTGTAGCAGACCAGACAGAGCCTGTGACGATCATCCTGAGGCTATCGCTGTCGCTGTATCTGACCACCCCTCCTGCCTGACAGCTGATTTCATAGTAAGAAGCTGGACTGCACATATCACCCCTTATATAAGAGCCCACAGTGGGGTGCAAAACAGACTCTCCATATTCTTGTTCACACAGCAGGGAGGGAAGAAAAGGGAGAGAAGCACCAGTGATCTTTCACTATATGGATCTAACAAATTCAGTCACTGGACTTTATTTACTCAGCTATTTTTTTTGAGAAACTACATGCATGAATCAGTAGATAGAATAATGTGTCTATAACAATCTCATCAATTTGTCTTCCAAATCTTACATCTTAAATAACCAGATGACTAAATGACCAATATTGAGTACAAAAGTATATCCCATAGTCTCTGAGACCAATTTCAAAAGAGGAATTCCCAAACACTTTGCACAATGACATTTCTGGAACACCCACAGTGACTACTTTGAAATGGACAACTCTCAAATTAGGTGTACCTCCTCATTAACATACCAGGTTACGCCTGGACATTACACACAACATCAGGAACAAGTAACTCTAGGAAGGAAGCAGCCCCACCAGCAGAGTGTCAGCAGGAACACTTACCTCCCAGCCCCTCCACCAAAGGAGATGCCAGCAGAGTTCATTCCTGCCAGGACAAAGTAGCCCTGCACCAAAGGAGACTCGCCCAGGATGCACCTCATGTCTGGGGTGAAGGTCTCGGGCAGTTCACCAACTTCATGATCTCCAGAGTGTCCATTTCAGGCATGCGCCGCAGGAGGGAACTCAGCAGGGGCTCTAAACCAGAAACAAACCCAAACATGGTCCTCACTTTGGAGAATTCAGAAACTTTCCATTCCTTAGACTTTGCTGCTCTCTTTCCAAGAGAAAAATCACCTGAAAGAGGCTTTTCTCAGAAGAGCCAAATAGGCTTTGACCAGAAAGCACATAGGTCACTTAATGCACCATCCTCTGAGGATTTCTGTCTTTGAGGAAACAAGAAATAAACACATATAGCAGAAAGACAATCCCCAATACAAAAGGTAGTACAAAGACTGTATGATACACAGTTAAATAAACAGCGTCAACAAAACGACACGTAACTTTGGAGAGACAAGATCCGTGTGGGCAACCAGATCTGGATGAAGGACTGGGGGTCAGGATATTTAGGTACCAATCACACATGTCACTTCAATGCACCGTCCTCTGAGGATTAGCATGTAGTATCGGGAAATCCAGGCTGTACATAGGTCACTTGACTTCACAATGTCTCAAAAGCAGTCCACTGGCTGGCAGCAATCCATGCAGCGCAACCTGCGCATCCTGCCAGGTAACACAATTCTCCAGCGGGGGACCCCACGTCCCCTTTCACCGCACCACTGCTGAACTGCAATGGGCGTGACAGATGGAGGATGATCCCCAGAGCCCGCCCCCGCCCCCACCTCTCTCACTGCCCACCAGCATCAAAGAGACACCAGCCCCAATACGGGGCTCCTGACGGTGACCCAGACCTGAAGTGAGACTAACTTACCTTTGGAAGAGAGGCCTAGGACCCCTGTCCCTCTAGCACGCAGGCTGGGCTTGGTAAACAATGCAAGGCTTGGCAAAGCACCAGGGACCGAACCAGGGCACCCGAAGTCAGCAGTTCCAGCTCAGGGCCCCTTATGTGGACCCCCTTCTGACTCAAACTCTGCTTAATACCCGACGCGAGTACCTGTTGCCATCAAATTAAATCTAACCCAAAGGGACTCCCTCCCACCTGTCCTGCGTGTAGTAGGCAGCAACCCTAACAAAAGCCAGAGGTGGTGAAGCAGCAGGAACTACTTTTACTATCTGCACCCAGAGGCCTTGCCTCTCAAAAGGAAGCCTGGCCAAGTCAGGCCCATCTACCGGGTGGGGACCAGGGCGAGGCAAGTGAGGCGCCCACTCTCAGGGCCAGCCTGGGAGCTCCGCTTATGTGCTCAACGGCGTAGGGCCTCTTCCCTCCCCTCCTCTAGCTCCTCTCCCCACTAACACACCTACCCGATGCCAGTCCCTAGACATCGGGTCTTAATCTAGGATCTACGGACAACGTTACACTTCACCAGAGTATGAATCATACGAAAGGGAAATGCCACAAAGCCTCAGTCCGTCATCAAACTTACTAATAATTCAAATCTCACCTTCCCAATGAAAACTCTATCACGGGTCACATAATTTCTAAGTCGGCCAGCAAAGGAAACCACAAACTGTGCTTACGCTGGGGTCACATGGCAGAGCCGAGCCGCTTTACTGTTCCTTGTCAGGATGGGGTCTAGAATTATCTGTGATCTGAATCATGCAGGTCTTCAAAAGAGCAATGCTGATGTAGACGAGCATCCTGAATTTCATCACCAGGCCCTGCTACTCCCTCAGGACAATTCCCGTGGCCACCAAACAGTTTCTCATCAGCCACGATGCTCGGCTCGACCCTGGGCTTCCGGCCAATCCATCCCCTGACACACGCTGACAGACAGGCTCCTAACTTGAGATCGTGCGGGACCATCCTGTGGCTGGGCCTTCCCATTCTACTTGCTCCAGTCCTACTTAGCTCACGATTCCCTGGGTTTCCTTTCCCTTAATGACACACATAAAGGAGTAACCTACGTTTAAGCTTCTTAGTCAGAAGCAGCCTTAAGAGCAACTGGTGAAACACCACGATTTCACCATCAGGCACCGAAACGGAAGTACTTCCTCGGCTTCTTCGTTCAGGAGCCAAACGTGGCCACTTACTGTATGTGCTCCAGGGAATGAAAGAATAGGAAATGGGCCAGGAAACCCTCAAGATCCTAAGAACTACAGGCTCTGGGCAGTATCTGGGATGAGGACAGAATGCCCTCGACTGATGGGCAGGGTGCCGGAGACAGCTCAACACGCTAACAGACTTGCCCAAAGTAAGACCACAGTGAGCGGCAGAGCCCAGGCTCACGCACAGGCCTTAACCACCGAATCTCCAGGCAAACGTGGTGTCGGGCCACGTCAAGTACTGAGTGCCAGACTCTGGGCACAGGCAGACCGGTAAGCGGGGGACTACCTGCTTACCTGTCTGGATGCCCGTTTCTTGCTCTAACTGCTGGTAGAGTTTGTTGGAATAGTCTGCCATCTTCTGCTCGATGGACAAGTGCCTGGCGGTGCTCAGGATGCCAGCACAGAACCTCGTAGAGCCAGCAGCCAGCCTGCAGGAGGCATCCAGGACACTATTAGGTAGACTCCCACACCTGTGAGCACAACTAGTTCAAAGATCCTCATTACGGCATTGTCTGTAATATCGAAAGATGGAAGCAACCTACATATCCACCGACATGAGCGGGATCGAACAGTCTGGAGTTCCCCTCTACCCTGGGACGCTCTACACAGCCATTAAAAAAGGAATGAGAGGAAGCTTTTATGCAACACTATGGAACAATCCTAATGAAAAAGCAAGGGCGGGGCGACACTGTTTGAGGTATGCTACTAACTCGTATAAAAAAAGAGAAAAAAATAATAAAACAAATACCCAGGCACACATATACAAACTGACCCATACAGATTTGCTCATGTACATGGGGACTATCTGGAACGATACACAAGGAACTTAACTTGCCTCCAGCGAGGGGAACTTCCAGCTAGAAGTCAGGGATGGGAGGCAGACTTTTCCCTGTACACTCTTTTACACTTTTCAATCTGAATCGTGTAAATGTATTGCCTATTCAGAAATAAATACAACAGACGGGTTAAAGGTCATCCAATTTCTGGTAGGCAATAGAACAGAAGAGGGGCATTAGGGGAAGAGTGAAACAACTTGGGACAAAGTATGAACTTCAGTTAATAAAAAGGCATCCACACTGACTCGTTATATTCAACGGCGATCCCAGCCTCAGATGTTCACCGAGGTGCGCACGGGGCTGAGGCATACGGGAGCGCCGCACCGCCTTCCCATTTGTCCTGTAAATCTACCGTGGCTCTAAAAGAAGCAGATTCGAGGACAAAAGGGAACAGAAATCAGGCGGGACGTAGCCGATTTCATTCGGGCTCACAGAGGAGGCTTTTGAGGGTTTCTGTTGCTGTGTGACAACAACAAAGAGGACAAGAGGGTATGGCATGGCGTGCCGTGACCCTGAAATGAAACACACCCTATCTGGATACTTGGCGAGTCAGAACCTGCCACCTCTCCCAAAGCCAGAAAATGGGGGTATCACGTACTCCGAAACCGCGGACAGGAGATCTCGCTCTCTGTGGTTCTTCTCAGGCTACTTAGCGCCAATCATCAGTCAGGTTAGCTACTGGCAGGACAACGTGGGGGGGGGGGGGTGAGGGGAGCCCCGAGCCGCGTGCCCTCAGGTCCTTACCTGCCCTGCTCCAAAAGGACAATATCCTTCCACCCCATCTTGGAGAGGTGATAGGCCACGGATGTGCCCATGATTCCCCCGCCGCAGATGACGACCTGCGCCTGGGCAGGCAGGGCGACAGAATGCGCCTCGGCAGCAGACGCGCCGCTTCTCCCCGACGACCAGTTCTGCCATCCTCGGCCGGTCCTTTGTCTTCGGACCACCGACAGCAACCGGTGGTACATCACGTCCGTCGGCGGCTGGGAGACGTGCTCTCACCCGCCTAGGGAGATCCCCGGCATTCACACTAGATGGAGAGAGCAACCAGATCTTATCCCGCTGTACTCAACGCACGGGATTAATGGGGAAACGAAAAGAAGCAACAAAGGAAGACAATCGTGCTTTCGGCGCGTGTCTGAGGTATCTGCGCACTTCCAGACGCTTCACTAGCTGTACACCCAGCAGTGGACAACAGGGAGGAGGTCCTCGCCTCTATGCAACTTTCGTCAGAGACACAGAGGCGGCGGGGGGGGGGGGGGGGTGAGTGTGGGAGAGGGTGCCGACGGCGGGGGCGGCCCCTACACACATAAACCGAGGACCGAGGCCAATGTGCTGGAATAACTGAAGGCACCTGTAAGACAGGGTGCTCGGGAGAAGGTGACCTTGGAAAAGCCACCTGACGGTGAACAAGAACCAGCTGTATGGTCTCCCAGACAGAGGCACACGCACGTGCCAAGGCCCTGAGGTGAGGCCGACCCCGAGGAGTCCGGGCACAGAAGGGAGGCCGGTGGGCCCACAGCACCATGAGCGAGGCGGACATGACCCAAGCCGAGGCTGGAGAGGCAGGCAGAAAGCAACGACACACGGCGCTTGGACGCCATCGTGACGAGCGGGGGTTTTGCTCCGAGTGCAGAGGAAGATACCAAAGCAGAGAATGGCATGACCGGATATGCTTGTCCAAGATCAGTCAGGCTCCAGGGCGGGAGCGGACTCCACGACCGGAGGGAAAGCAGGGCTAGGAGGCTACCGCGCAGTTCTAGGGGGAGGGCCCGGGGGCTCCCAGCAGGACGGTGGCGGTGAAGTCAGAGCCACGACTGGATTATTTTCGAGGTGAAACAACAGAACTCGACAAACGGGATGTTAAAATGGGGCGAGGGGAGAAACAAGGACGGCGGCGGGGTTTCTGGGTTAAGTAACTGGTGCCAGGGACTACGGTGTGAAGGACCAGGGTTGGGGAGGGAGGCCGAGGAGGGCACAGGTACGCGTGCGCAGACAAGCAAACGTCCCCCTCTGAGGTGTCAAGGCAGGTTGCCTCGCGGGCTTCCGCGTGGGAAGGCCAAGCAGCAGCTAGACATCCAGGCCTGAAGCTTGGGGACCACATGGGGTATCTGGAGACCCGTCATGCCGGGCAACAAGAAGAACCCTGAAGCTCCCCAGCAGATACAGCTTGGAAAGAGAAGCAAAGTACCGGGCAGACTCACAGAGCGTCCAGACAAACACGAGGGGTTCAAGAGATGGAGAAGGAGCCGCTGCGAAGCAGAAAGAGAACTGGGCAGAGGGTCACGGAAGCCAAGAGAGAAAAGGGTTTCAGGAAGCGGTTCACTACTGGGGGTGCCCAGGGGTGCAGCAAGATGGCCTAGTTCCACTGGGACTTGACAACAGAGGCCCCTGATGTCCTCAAAAAGAACAACCTTCGCAGGAGAGTGCTCGGGATGAAATGCGGACAGGGCAAGCTCCAGAGTGAGGAGGTGAGGGAGCGCAAACTGCTCCTTCACATCCTGCTCTGAAGGGAGCAGAAAAACCAGCCAGAAGCAGGAAAGAACGGGAGCAGAGCAAGACTCTTTGCTGATAAAGGCTCAGGCCGTGGACGCTGTTTCACTGCTGGTGGGAAGGGCAGGGGTGAGGAAGAAGGAGAGGTGGGGACAAAGAATGAGGTCCTGGAAGAGAAAAGAGAGAGAGAGGGGACCCAAAGCCACCGTGAGGGACGGTGGGCCCCGGGTCTGCACAGGCCCCGGGCTGGGGACTCAAGGTCCATCAGGCCTCTTCCCAGAAGCAGGGGAGGGTCAGGCGAGGTGGGCTTCTCACGCACCCTCGGGTGTCACAGGCTGGGACCCTGCCCACGTGTCTATGAGACAATCAACACTGTAAGGCAGAGAAAGGAGAGGGTACAGGATCGGGCCACCGGGGAGAACTGTTCTCCCGGCAAAACGGAGGCCTGTCCAAAGTTCCAGAAACTGTAGTCAGACCTGCCTGGAGATGGCAGGGTCACCGAGCTTGGGAAAACAGAGACTCCAGAGCAGAGCCCTGGCACGCAGGGTGCCCAGCAGCATGCCACTCCCAGGCCGGGACCCACGGTGGGCCCCGAACAGCCCAACTAGCCCAAGGCCAAGGCCCGGGTGCCCGTCCACCACACAGGATCTCAGAAGGAGACCAAGCAGGCCCACTCGGGTCCCGAGACAAACCCCATCCAACCAGGGCTGATTACTGGGCTACCCTGAGGCAGTCACCAGGCCTCACACCACCCCCACCCCCACCCCCACCCCCACCCCTGTCCAGCTGTCTCAAACAGAAGGCGCCACAGGGCCAGCCCCGGCCCACCGCGCTCACCCTCAGGAGGGAAGGCGGGCATCCTCCTTCTCCTCCGCTCAGAGAACCCTGCTCCTTCCTGGCTCTGGCCAGCAGGCACCCCTACCTAGCCCCGGGCCACCAAGGGTTCGGCCACAGGCAGATCTGAACCCACCACGCTGTTCCTCTCCCAACCTCAGACCCGGCCTCCTTTCCTCCTTCCTCCCATGCACATAACCCATCTCATCTCCCCCCCCTGAAACTCTACCCATCATCCCACTTGCATCTCTAACCATCTAACAACCATCTCTCCTTCCCTCAGAGGGTCAAAAGTTCACGCCCGCACAAGTCCCCCAGAAACCTCTCCCTCCTTCCCCTGAGCCCAGCTTTGTCAAGCCAGCTCCTCTTCCACGTACCTTCGGGGTTCCCTCTGACCCTCAGCGTTTTCATATGCTTGAGTCCTCCCAACCAATTTCAGAAATGGAACAAAAGCTCCGTAACGGTCTTCGAAGAATGCTTTTTAATTTTAAAAATTCTGAATTATAAAAATTGTGGTCTTGGCAAACACACACACACACACACACACACACACACACACACACACACACTGGAGATTATGATTTCCCGTCAGGGCACCTGGGTGGCTCAGTCAGTTGAGCGTCCGACTCTGGGTTTTGGCCCAGGTCACGGTCTGGGTGTCGTGGAATCGAGCCCCACAGCGGGATTCTCTCTCTCCCTCTGCCCCTTCTGCTCACAGGCATGCACTCTGTCCCTCAAATAAATAAATAAAATCTTAAGGGGCACAGGAGTGGCTCAGTCGGTTAAGCATCTGCCTTTGGCTCAGGTCATGATCCCGGGGTCCTGGGATTGAGCCCCACATCAGGCTCCCTGCTCGGTGGGGATCCCACTGCTCCCTCTCCCTGTGCTGCTGCCCCTGCTTGTGTGCTCGCTCTCTCTCTGTCAAATAAATAAAGAAAATCTTAAAAAAAAAAAAAAAAAAAGCGCTTTCCCTTCATAGAAAACGACCAGTCCCAATGAGCTATCCAGATGTCCACCTGAGTGTCCCCCCCTGTCTTGTGACCTTTCCTTACTCCTTAGTGATTGCAGTGGCCGGAGGTCATGCCAGAACTGAGTCTTAATGTGATCTCACAACCCGTCTTTTCACTCGACAAATGTTGTTTCTGTTTTTGTTTTTTTAATTCAAGTTCAATGAGTTAACATGTACTGCTTATTGGTTTCAGAGATAGAAGCCAGCGATTCTCATCAGTCTTATAGAACACCCAGCGCTCATCACATGTCCTCCTTAATGCCCATCACCCAGCGGCCCCGTCCCCCAACCTCTCTCCCCTCTAGCGACCCTCAGTTTGTTTCCCACGATTCAGCCTCTCTTATGGTTTGTCTCCCTCTCTGATTTCATCTTTATTTTTTCCTCTCTTTCCCTATGATCCTCTGTTTTGTTCCCTACACTCCACAAATGAATGAGATCATGTGATAATCCACTTGACAAATACATTAAGGAAAGGGCTTCATGTATTATTGTCACTTTCCCCCTTTCCAGTCTGTCCTGAACCCAAAGCGGCTGGGCTTCTGTCCCGCCCAGCCAGGAACACGGCTCTCCCCAAGACTGCTCATGCTGCCAACTTCCGGGGCCACGGGCCTCACCTCGCATCCTGTCCGCAGCACTCCATAGCGCCTATTGCTCCTGCTACTCACACCCTCTTGCCCCGTTTTATTCGGACTCCTACTGCCCCTGCCCCCCGGTCACGTCTTCGCCGGCCTCTCTCCCCCGCCCGACCTTCCGACTCCATGTCCCTCGGGGTGCTCCAGGAGTAGCCTCTCCCCTCGGTCCGCTACTCTCCAGGGTGACTTCACCGCCTACCGTGACGCGTGGCCCCGCCTCTAGTTGAACCCCGGCCGTGTCCACTTGGGTTCCCGGAGGTCAAACTGAGCACATCCAACAGGGACACCCATCCTCCTCAATCTCCAAACCTGCTCCACTCCTGCGTCCCCAGCGACACCATATACGGGAACCCTGGGTAATACCAAGGGTTCTCATCTCCTCCACGCGGCCCGCCAGCAAGGAGCAAGGCTTCCACACGCTACACTTCTCTCATCCCCACCGCAGCTAGAGTACAGGCCGCCGCCCCTGCTCAGATTACTGCAGAAGCTTCCTGACGGGGCTGCTGCCCACCGTTCTCCTCCCCACCCCCCACAATCCTGACAGGACTCTGAGCTGGTCTTCTCAAGTGAAAATCTTGCTTCACGCCCTTGCTTCAAACTCTTCAATGACCCTCTGATGTCCTCAGGAAAAGGCCATCTCCTTAACAGGAAGTGCAGGATGCTTCACCATCTGGCTCACTTGTCGTCTCTGGTCGGTCGGTCTCTCTCTCTCTCTCTCCCCCCCCCAGACTGAACTACTTGTAATCAATTCCTCAAACGGGACAGGATTCTGGGCACACTGTTCCTCTAACCAAGTAGTCTAGTTCCTGCCACTCCCCCCGACCCTCAAACGAAGGTCATCCCCTCAGCTCTCAGCCTGTTTGACACCGGATCAGACCTCCTCTCCCCCAGTGCTCAGGCGGGTGACGCCTCCACATTCTCCCCTATCACCTGCACTTCTCCCAGCACAGAGCTTTCCGGGCTCTCTCGTGGTCTGTTCGCCACTCAGGGAAGCAGCGCGACAACCCAGCTGGCCACGCAGGCTCCTGAGGCAGACAGCAGTGGGTCTGAAAACCTCCCCCACCTCTCATTGGCTCTAGGACTTTCAGCAAGTCAGACCGTTCCTGGCCTTTGGGCTCCTCATCCAGAAAGTGAGCTAGGACTACCTACCTCGCACACCTGCTACAGACACTCCATCCGACAATAAGGAACAACACGGCGACTGGCACCTAAGAAGCACCCAGTAAGTGGTACTTTCTAGCTCCTATTGTAATGGAGCTCTCTGGGAGCCCAGACCAATTATATCATGATTTTCCCAGCATTCAGGGTAGGCACCCAGGAAATACACGTTGATGAATGGACAGAGAATGCACGACAGGGGAAAAAGCTCAATGAGGACTCGGAGGTCTCAAGGCCAGGCCCTCAGATTTGACGGGATATCTAAATCACGTGAAAGCGTTTTTAAAAAGAAAATGGTACTATTTTCATAGGCAGTTACCATCGGCTTGCTAGATGCTGCTTCGTGTGTACAGCTGACTCAAGCCTCACAATCCTAGGAGGCAGGTATCAGAACTTCTTTTCTACACTCCCGGAAGCTGAGACACAGAGAAGTACCGCATCCATGATTCTCGAAGGCCAGTGAGTGGCAGAGCCAGGAGTCAAACCTTGCCAGGCCGGCACCACAGAACTACCCTAGAACGTTCCTCCCTGCTACCTTTCAAATAAGATCAGATGAATAAAGAAAGGGTAGTTGTGAGGACAGAACCACCAGGCACACCCCCTGGCAGGATAAAAGGAACTGCAAAAGTCCCAGAAGCAGCATGATGACAAATGAGGTTCCAGATGGAAGAAACTATGTTAAAAAGCCTCTGGTGATAAGAACCGAGGAGAGGATTCGTGACCTCGTGTGCATCGTGACCTTCAGAGAGTCACCGAAGTGGTGAGGACAAACAAGAACAAAAGAGGATTTTAAGTGGATAAACAAAGAAGGAAGGCACCAGAGTGTCCCTGTAGGTTTGGCAGCAAAACCAAAGCAAAGCTTGCAAGCAGAGGCGGGAAAAAGCCAGTAGAGAAGAAACTGAAGATGGCAAAGACAGAGAAATAAAAGGTGCTACCGGGTTTACAGCACCTTTTAGGGACGTTTGTGTGCGGGCGCGCACCTACCTTAGGTCCTATTTAAGTAACCTCTACACCACTCCAACTAACGAGCAAGAGACACGTGCTCTTCCGACTGAACAAGCCAGACACCCCCAAAATACACTACACCTTTTTTTTTTTGTTTGTTTTTTAATTTATGATAGTCACAGAGAGAGGGAGGGAGAGAGAGAGGCAGAGACACAGGCAGAGGGAGAAGCAGGCTCCATGCACCGGGAGCCCGACGTGGGACTCGATCCCGGGTCTCCACGACCGCGCCCTGGGCCAAAGGCAGGCGCCAAACCGCTGCGCCACCCAGGGATCCCTACACTACACCTTTTTAAAACTAAGATGACCCCACAATGTTTTCTACTAAGAAGAAAAACACCTGCCCAGCAACCTCCGTATGGGGACTAGGTACGCTCACGTCCGCGCACACCAGCGAGGGCGAGAGGACAGCTCCGAGGCCCTCTGAGTCGTTCCTCTGCGTGGTCACGGCGTGTGTGCGAACGGGCCGCTGGGGACCAGGGGGCCCGGGGAGTGGGGGTCGATCAACATTCCCCCCACCTGCCTCAGCCTCAGAGCCACCTGGCACGTCTCTGGAGAGCCCGACGCTACTGGTCCCGGCGTGTAGTCCTCAACAAGTGCCCCCAGGTGAGCAGGCAAGTTTAGGAACTTAACGCAAATGCCCCGCGCCGGCAAAGTGTGCCCCGTGGCCCGGCTCCCCTCCCCCGGACGTCAGGCTTCCACGCCCCGGCAAGTGCACTCGAAGGTCCCGGCGCTGACCTGTGTCCTTCACGTCGGCCCCGAGTGGTCACGCGTCGCCAACACAGCTCCCTGCCCGGCCTACGCTTCTCCCGGTAACGCAGCCGTCCGCCGATCCGGGAAGCACCGGCGGGGCGCGCGTCTCCAGGCGGGAAGGGAAGCGACTGCACCCGCAGGGGAGACAGCCCCGGCGAGACCCGCCTCGTCCGCGCGAGGGGCCGCGCAACCCGAGGCCGGGGGCCCCGGCGAGGTCGCCGCGGACGCCCGGAGGAGCCGCTGCGCAGGCCCGGGGCAGCCGGGCACGGGTTCCCCAGGCCCGGGACGCCGGGCCGGACGGGAGAAACGGGGCGGACCCCTGTCGGCCCGGACGCCCGAGGCCGAGGCGAGCTGGCGCAAGCGACGCGACGCGACCCGGGGGCGGCCGGGACCCCCCCCGCCGGGAGCCCGGAGCGGAAAGGGGGCCGCTGAGACGCGCGCGGAGCGGAGGCCGGAGCGGCCCCGCCGCCGTGTCCTCACCTCACGGGCCCCGGCGGGCTCCGCGGGCCGCAGCACAAGCCCCGGCGGCAGCGGGGCAGCAGCCACAGCAGTTGCCGGGAGCGGTCCCGGAGCCAGAACCGGGGCCGAGGAGGCAGCGAAGGGGGCGGGGCGGAGGGAGTAAAAAGTTCCGGGGAAGCCCGGGACCGCGACCTTCCGCGCTTTACGGCCCCCAGCAAGGGTACGCCGGCGCCTGGCCGGCGCTGCCGCGCACGCGCGCGCCGTGACGTCCCCGAGGCGGCCCCGCCCCTGCCACGTGGGGCTTGTTTGGGTCTCGCGAGGCCCCGCCCCGGGGCTCTGGGCCGCGCTGGGCCGCGGCGCGGGTCGGGCTGGCTGGGGCGCGGGCTCGGGGCTGGGAGTGGGGGCGGGGGCGGGGGCTGCGGCCCGGGCCGCCGGCCCGCTTGACCCCGACGGGCGGAGCCGGGACGTCCGCCGTGGGCCGCTCGCCCTGCGGGGGAGCCGGGAGCGCGGGGCCTCGCCCTGCCCTCGGGCGCGCTGCCGCTGCCGCCCCGCAGAAGGGCGCGCGGGACCCGCGGGCGCTCGGCGCCTCCCGGGCGAGGCTCTGTCGGGGCGCGGCCGTTCCCGCCGGTTGCAGGCCCGGCCCTCCCTCCGCAGCACCGCAGTCGTGGGCCGGGCGGGCTCCCCGGCGCTCGGAGCCCGGCCCGGCCCGGCGCGGCGTGCAGTCCGCCCCCGAGTGGGCAGCGTGCTCAGGCTACGGCGGCCCGTGCCGGCGGCGCCTCGTCCTCCTTTCCCGCCCGTGGGATCCGAGCCCCGGCCCCGCGCAGGCCCCCGGCGTCCCTGTGGCCCCTTTCGGCCGAGGCGCCCGCGCCAGGGAGGGGCGGGCCAGCGCGGGCCGCGGGGCTCCGGGCCGCCCGCGAGTGCAGACGTGGCTCCCCGCGGAGCGCCGCTTCACTCGCACGACGCGGCGCCCGAGTTCTGGCTGCTGAGCCCGGAGACTCGGGGCTGGAGAAACGATTCAGCATTCTAGCCAAGGGCTGAGAGTTGGGGCCGCCCGACTGCCCCGGAGAAGAGCAGGTAGACGAGCCCATCCGAGGTGTATTCCTGGGGAGCCAGGCCCGATGGCCAGACGCGGCAGTTTGGGGAGGAAGCCTCGCAGGTTCGCGGCCGAGCGGCGTGACGGTGCCGCTTGTGGGCTGAGGACTGGGAGGAAGCGCGCGGTGCGGTGCGCACGGAGCGGAGGGTGACGCGCGGCGAGGGTCGATGCGGGGATTCCCTGCTGGCGACGGCAGCGAGTAGCGGCCGGGCGGCTCGGCTTTCCCTCTTCCCTCAACCCATGACCATCACACGTGTCTTCATAGCACCTTCTCCTGATACTTGGACTCAGCTTTGCAACCCTCTGCCTTGCTTCTCTGTCCCTCGGGGACAGAGATTGCAAGGGGTGGGGAGGGGGTATTTTTAGCATCTGTTTCAAAAGATCCGCGCCAGGATTTCCTTTGCACACCAAGACCTGGAGCCGAGGTCTCAGGCCTTAGGCCTTAGGGCCCCCCCCCCCCCGAATGTCCCCTGGGGGGTGTAGACAGGAAGGACAAAAACAAAGTAACTTCACTCATTGTGAGGGTTCCCATCCTCACCCCATAGCTTCCAGTCCCCAGATCAAAGGCCTTTCTGCAGCTTGTTTCAATCAAGGGGTTTCTAGCAGCACAGTGAACGCTTTGTTCTCGGTCTACTCTTAGGATACTGGAAATGCCATCGTGATTAGGGTACAGGGCTGTAACTCCTTATTTACATTAGTAAATGTGCAGTTGCCTCAGCCCCTTTCTACCCCCCTGTAGGGTCGGCGCGAGGTCCCGAGGACATTTAAGGCACTTTCCCGCGTGGGTCTTTCTCAGCAGCCCTGTGACTTTAGGCACCCAGAATGACCAGCGTTTCTGACTCCACGAACGCAGTGGGAACATCGCGCCCTGTGTTTCGATCAGGCCGATTTTTTTTATTTTTTTTTAATTTTTATTTATTTATGATAGAGAGAGAGAGAGAGGCGCAGAGACATAGGCAGAGGGAGAGGGAGAAGCAGACTCCATGCACCGGGAGCCCGACGTGGGATTCGATCCCGGGTCTCCAGGATCGCGCCCTGGGCCAAAGGCAGGCGCCAAACTGCTGCGCCACCCAGGGATCCCCGATCAAGCCGATTTTAATTAAGATGTTCTTTTCCTGCTACTAGGTTTGTAAATGAATAAACACACATTTTAATCACTCTGGCCGTGTCCACTTGGGAAATGTTCTTCATCTCTAGTGATTTATGTATGTATTTGCCATCACAAGGATAAACATTGTACCTAAGACCATTTGCATCTGTTACCAGAGTGTGAAACGGAATTTGGACACCGAGGTACAGCACACACAGGCATCGTATCACCCTCCATCAATGGTGGCTTGGCTGGAGACAGAAAGCCTCCCTTCCTCCTTCTGAAGGCTATGAGGACACACACCCAAACCTTTAACCCACAAAACAGTGAACTAGTCCAGTTAAGTGCTCAGCGTGTGGTAGATGCCAGCGGTGGCGCCTTAGAATCACCCGGGGACACCTAAAGCAATCTCCTCTGAGCGAACTGGAATCAGCAAGGCTGGAAGTCTGATCACTACTTCCCAGGGGATTTCCAGGAACTTCTCTTGTGTCTAGATACCACTGCATGACAACTGTGTAAGAATCTGGAGGGGAGCCCTGGTGGCTCAGCGGTTTAGCGCTGCCTTCCACCCAGGGTGTGACCCTGAAGACCCGGGATCGAGTCCCACGTCGGGCTCCCTGCATGGAGCCTGCTTCTCCCTCTGCCTGTGTCTCTGCCTCTCTGTTTATGTCTCTGTGTCTCTTGTGAATAAATAAATAAAATCTATAAAATATTTATGAAAAAGAATCTGGAGGACAAATGGTAGTTGTTGAGAGGTGTGTGGGTTAGAAAGGATTTTTGCTGGTTCCTAAGCAGGACAAGGTTTTTCTTACACATCATCCCATGTGGTCTTTACGACAGTCTTAGGAGGTGAGGTTTTAGCAGATGATGTAGACTCAGAGGTTAGCTGACTTTTCCAAGATCGCGGGGCTTGTGTGACGGTCTAGGAAACGGAGCCGAGGTTGTCTATCTGAACCCAAAGGTCTCTGCACTGTAGCATAAGGCATGTGGCCAGGAGGACTTGGGGCAGGGTGGCTGGGTCTCCAATGCTGCAGACAGAGAGACAGAACAGAGCACGGCCTGTACCAGCGAGGAGCTCCACTGGCTGTGGTCCGTGGGCATCCGCGGCTCCTCGTTCCTCTGCCAGGTGCCCCGGCAGTGCACGGACGTGCTGGAGTCTAGCTCTCGTCCTGTGAGCTTGGTTGGCTCCAGCCACGCTGAGACCTTTCTTTAAAAGACAGGCAGCCGGGATCCCTGGGTGGCGCAGCGGTTTGGCGCCTGCCTTTGGCCCAGGGCGCGATCCTGGAGACCCGGGATCAAATCCCACGTCGGGCTCCCGGTGCATGGAGCCTGCTTCTCCCTCTGCCTGTGTCTCTGCCTCTCTCTCTCTGTGACTATCATACATAAATAAATAAAAATTAAAAAAAAAAAAAAAGACAGGCAGCAGCCACGGTGTGCGGGTCTGCAGCGAGGCCTTAAGCGAACTGTGCATGCTCGTGCATGCTCATTAGCCCTGCTGGGGGCTGCTCTTGATCAGAAGACGGTGCGCCCTGTGTAGCCACCGTGTCGTGGAGGGTCACGCAGGATGAGAGACGCGGGAAACAGATCTGACCTCGACCTGAAGCCGAGTGCACTGACCCACAGCCTGAAGCCGCTGCCCGGCCTAACCGCAGTCCCCTGCGGGCCCGTAAGCCTGAGACGAAATGCTTGTGCAAGGCAGCAGGTCTTGGGCTGGTTTGTGGGCCACCTCTTGCAGCAAATGGAGGGTCTCTGCCAGTGTAGGCGTGTCGGATTGATGCCACCGGTCCCCATCCCCTTGAGGAATTCTCTACTCGCTGCAGCTTGGACTCACTGGTCTTTATCCGGCTCACCTCGCCGACGTTCCAGCAGCTCCATGCGGGGATCCCGTAGGCTGACACGTCACGAGCACCCTCATCGTCTTGTCTCGCACATCTACTCTTATTTCGCTTCCACAAACGGTGGACCGAGCTAAGAACCAGGGAGCCATCTGGTGGCTCCGCTCACTGCTCCCTGAACCTCTAGCTCATCGGCCACACAACCAAGTCTGTGTCCCCGTATCTCTCGTCTCTTCTGGCCTCTGCTTTGCCAGCATCCCTTGCTTTGGTGACCATCTCTGAGAAGATGTCCCTGCTTCTCGTGTCACCCCATCCTCGCTCTGCAGGATTATCTTTCCCACCACGTCCAATCATTTTACTCGCTGGCTGACTTAGCACATACACCTGACTCCCTGTTGTTGGGGAGACCGTTCACACTCTTTGGTGTGCAGAGCAGGGTTCATGGTGGCCCTGGGGCCCAACGGCGAGTGACCCTCCGGCCCGAATCCTGCCCCATTTAGCCCCTGTGCGCAGCTCATCTTGTCTTGTATCTTGCTCTCAAGCCACACTCAGCCAAACCCCTCATTTGCTCGCTAAGCTGCCCTTCCTGGCACCTGCCCTTCTGTGTTTGGGAAAGAATTCTGAATTTAGAATCAAATGGACCCTCACGGCCCTTCCACTCAGCTTGGCACCCCTCCAGAATTTCTGAACCTCGGCACACCATCACCAGCCTGTCGTCGGTGGAGCCTTTCCTTCCCAGGACACCTGGATCCCTCGGGGGTGCCCGCTCTACTCCTTCCACCTCTCTCTTTGCCTTTCTCCCCGACTCGTTCTAACAGTCCCTCCGAGGAACTGGCTTCTCTGAGCCCCCAACACCTAGTATCGTGCCTGGCATCTAACAGATGATGGAACGAATGGGGGAAAGTGCGAGCAAAAGTTCTATTTGCCAATCTGTAAAACGGGGATAATATCCTGGCCTCAGAGAACAGCGGGCATTTGGTTTCTGCCCTTGGCCCTCTGTGTGACCAGTAGGTGGCGCGCTGTGACCTACGAATTCACGTTTCCTGGGGCCTCTGGGGCCTACATCTGGAGTGCAGGTGGTCTGGATGAACCAGAAACTCAAATCAGTCTAATCAAACCTCCCCCTGAGAGGTGCTAACCCATGCGGCCCCTGTCCCTTGGGCGGGGGCGGGCTGGACGCAGCGGAGAGGCTCCTTTGTGCAG